ATACAGCCTTATAAAAAGTAGCCTATAAAAGTATAGTTCCTATCGCCGGGCTTTGCACTTTATCGCCATCGGCTATAAAAGGCTATAGTAAATTGTGTAGAAATTCCTGTGCTTTGGAAATCATTAAGTTTGATACGGAACCACCATAATATTTACAAAACGCATATTATATTTTCCTTTAATACATATTTTTTTTCATCAATTACGAGAATGAGAATAATTCTTACAGGATGTGCAAAAATTTCAAAATCATGAGTTGAAAAACGCTGACTCCGCGAGATTATATATTGGAGCCTAACACAGAGCGGAGCGGCGCGGCGCGGCGTGCTGCCAGCGATAAGCGCGCACTAGCGCCTACAAACCTAACAGGGAAACTTCACGCATTGCGCAATGCGTGAAGTATCCCTGTTAGGTTTGTAGGCGCTATCAATCATCATACGGCGAATTCTAAGCTCAACAATTTGCTAATCAGTCATCATCGGGCGAAAGTTGCGTTGCGACCCTCGAGCCTAATTTTCGTCTCACCCGATTTCATTTCCTCGATTGTTAGTGTGGGGTCTCTGAAACGTACTGTCTCTAGCCCGAAGGTTTCTCCGGGAGTCACCGATAACCAAGTTGTGTCACCGTTACCATCACGTAGCAGTGCCGTAATCTTCCCCGACCGTGTGCTGAGTACACTCGCACCCGATTTCCACTTTCCCGACCCGCAGAGAGGTGCGAAATTCCTGACTCCCGACCGCACTCACGTCCTCGCGGGGCCCACCAATCATCAGTCACCGAGCACCAATAACCCGACGGATGATGCCGATTTTTCCGATGAAATTCGCCTACTTCCCACTGATCCTCGGGGGAACATCTTTAGAATGCTCGCGAAGCGGCAAAGCGAGTCCGACCGCTTTCTCTGCGCTACTCAGCCGTTGTGTGACGAGACGGCATTTGTTTGCCAAGTGACGAGTGACAGTGCTTGGTGCACATGTGTTCGCCCGTTGATCGGTGGATTCACAGCCAGAGTGCTCTAGATGAGGAGAAATAAAGGCCATGGCAACATGCATGGGTGAATTGGACGTACTTCTGCCAAACGGAACTTTGTGCATTATGACGTGAGCCCTGCCATGCATATATTCTCATGGGTCTCAGGGTTTATGTCTTATTGCACATATTTCCAGTGGCGTGGCGTGCTTTGCAATATATCGATTGATCTGTCATTCAAACCTATGGAAAAGGATCGATAAATAGGGTGTTCGCAGAGAACACCTTGATAATCGATTCTTTACCATAGCTTCAAATGGGAAAATATCGATAATCGACCATTCACGCCACGCCACTGCACATTTCCGTTTGGCAGTAATACGTCCGATTGTTTATGGAAGCGATGGAAATCGAGAGAGATAAAAATACAATGTTTTATTTCGGGAGCCTCAGAGACCAAGATATGACTCACGACAATGTTAACATCTACATGGTGGCGACTTGGTCCTTGGTCCTTCGCTTACTCAACTTGACTCACAACTGGCTTAACTCAATTTTTTCGAAAATGTGGGCTGGTTCCTCTCTGATGAACTCGGTCCGATCGGTATGTGAATCGGCAAAAATCGCTCATTCGCATCTCGTCATGATTACCGGCGATCATTTCTGCGAAATTGGAGATCAAATCGGAAAGAAATCCACGACGTAGAAGATTGCCAAATAACTGAAGGGGCCCTTTTTGCAAGCTTGTGATGATTAGAGTCCCTTTATACTGAGAGTCAAGACAACACCCCTCATGGAGTCACAAACGGGAATAAAGATTACACAAATTGAACGTGTTTCGTAATCTTTGATCGGCTCATTATTAAATTCCTTTCTCCGTTCCTTCTCTCATTCCGTTTGTTCCTTGTCGAACCCGAAATTCCTCGGTCCATTCCAGATTATAATCTTTGCAATTGGTGAAAATGTAATCTTTATTCCCGTTTGTGACACTGTGAAGGCCTAAAATCCGGTTAACCAATTAAAAATGGATTCGCATTGTCTTGACTCTCAGTATAAAGGGACTCTAGTGATGATGATTATGCTGCGAATTAATCGCCAATCAAATCGGCGAGTGAATTATCCGCTGAATCGGCAACCGGGGTGGTGACTCGTGACTCGTGACTTGCGCTTTTTCGATCGGCGGCCGTCGCGTCGTCGCGAGTCATATGGGTCAGCGTGTTAGGGTGTCAGACTGAGCCTGAGCCGGCGACACAAAGCCCGAGTCATCCCTCCGAATTGGTAGCACCAGTAATGATCCTGATCCCCGACCCGGCTCCTAGACTCGCCCCCGTAGCCCCCTCCCGACCCGGTCGTCGTCGGCCGGTCGTAGCCGCCCGCTAAGACGTAATCAACGTTCGAGGTGTCGCCCGGGAAAATGGAACAGGTTACAACTGGGGGAAGAAAAGAAGAGACAAAAGTCACATCAGTCTGGATGCATCAATCATCAGCTGGCCTATAGCCCTGGATAGACGATCAACTTTCCGAACCAATTCCGATCAAAGTAGTATCAAAGTGTCGGGAGTCATCAGTCTTAAACTCATTAATTTGCTTCATTTTAAAATGAAAACTTGGCAGAAATGTTTCCTGTGGCAGGAAATGATGAATGGTGGCACTCCGTTCTGATCTTACTTTGAACAAAAAAGTGCGGCCCGTCAAAATTTGATGGTAGTAGGTGACCACCAGTCATCAGCATGTCTACTTTGATCGGAATTGGTTCGGAATTTAATCTTCTATCCAGGGCTTATTGTTTAGCATATAAATATCAGTTGAATGGTGCGATTTGGATGTGACATTTGTCTCTTTTTTTCTTTCCCCAGTTCTACCTTAGTCGTTTCTTAAATAGCTCCTTCTTTTAAGAGACCCCATTTGGTTTAAGGCTTAGATACACACGGCGATCAATCGCCGCAAGTGAAAGACGAAAGCCAATGGAGAACTTTGATTTCGATACATCGACGTAAATGGATCGAAATCAAGGCTGTCCATTGGTTTTAATCTTTCACTCGCGGCGATTGATCGTCGTGTGTATCTAAGCCTTTACATTGATTAAGGCCCAGATACACCTACTAGTTACAAGCGCTTGTTGAAAGTGAAACACCAATAGGCAAGGAGGATTTCGATAGCTCAACGTCGAGCGATCGAAATTCTCCTTGCCTATTGGTGTTTCATTTTTAACAAGCGCTTGTGACTCGCAGGTGTATCTAGGCCTTATATCATAATGTAAATGGTTTCGCGTAATGTAAACCAAATCCTGGTTTTCTACTGGTGTTCGATTGGTGTTGGATTACAATGATTCATCATTATAGAAAATCTAAAATACGGAAGAAAACGTAACGCAAGTTTAGTAATTTTAAGGTAGCTTCGCACCTACTTTAATATTTGTCATAATCATGGAATTTTTTCTTCCGTAGTTTGTACTTTAAAAATCTATTTCATCTACACGCTCCAGCTGGCAACGCTGGAATTGAGTTAAGGTATGAAAGAAAGCAAAGCGCCCTTAGTTTGTCTCGTCTACGACGACCTTTAAACACATTCCATTACAACGCTTGCATGCAATTATTCGGGCTCTGTGGATGTCCGTGTTGCATACCCCTGGTAGTAAAGGCGTTTTAACTCTGCGGGCACTCACCGCTAAAACATAATAAAAGCTATCATTGTTTATAATGTAATTTTTAAGTATATACTGTGTTACTGTCACGTTTTATTTAATATGCTGTTTACATCACTTGTGCAAGTACATTGGCTCGATTCTGAAAAACTCGATACTGAGACAAAAAACAAATTTTCTTTATGACAAGAAAACTTTCGTTTTGACGTGGAAAATTTTACTAAGCGTTACAGAGCGCTAACTTGACTTAACAAATACCTTTGTTTATTAGCGCAACGAGAACTTAGTTATTACGTTGCGTTGAGGTGAATCTAATTTTTCTCACGGCAAAAAGTTTGTTAAGTTTCATTGGAAAGGAGTCCTGGTGTGCAGTAAATATTGGAGTAGGGTGAATGAAATGGGGTTTTTCACTACTTTCGCCCAAAAAATGACTGCTTCAAATTTAAATCTGGTGGAATGAAACATTCTTTTTTCCGTGATACTTTCCCCACACTTTCCTCACTAACCGTCGTGAACTCACACAAATACCCGATAACCGTGCACAGTCTACACACATACACAACCTACACCCAGAGTCATGTAAAGAACACAGTTAGCCGTTGTGTGCTGTTGTCTGATATTGTGTTGTGTGTCGTCTGATGTCATATGCATTTGTATATAACCTGCAATTTATCCCATTGAGATTTCCCACTTTTCTCAAGACCTAAACTCACGCAATTACCCTATAAACCGTGCACAGTCTACACACAACCTACACCCAGAGTTACACAAAGAACACAATTAGCCGTTGTGTGCTGTTGTCTGATGTTGCGTTGTGTGTTGTCTGACGTCGTGTGCATTTGTACATATATAACCTGCAATTTATCCCATCCACTTTTCCCAAGACCTAAACTCACACAAATAACCACAAACCGTGCACAGTCTACACACGAGGTCTATACACAGTGCTCCAGTGGACACTGTTCGCCGTTGTGTGCTGCGTTGTCTAATGTTGTGTTGTGTGTCGTCTGACGTCGTGTGCATTTGTATATAACCTGCACTTTATCCCATTGAGATTTCCCACTTTTCCCGAGACCTAGACTAACACAAATAACCACAAACCGTGCACAGTCTACACACGAAGTCTATACACAGTGCTCCAGTGGACACTGTTCGCCGTTGTGTGCTGCGTTGTCTAATGTTGTGTTGTGTATCGTCTGACGTCGTGTGCATTTGTGCATATATAACCTGCAATTTATCCCATCCACTTTTCCCAAGACCTAAACTCGCACAAATAACCACAAACCGTGCACAGTCTACACACGAAGTCTATACACAGTGCTCCAGTGGACACTGTTAGCCGTTGTGTGCTGTTGTCTGATTTTGTGTGCTTTTGTGTGTCCTCTAGGAGGAGCGACGGATCAGTCGACCGCAGAGTCTTGGTGGAGGCCGCCCACGCAGTCATTCGTCGACACCCCGTACTCGGCCACTCACGGCCTCGTCCAGACCCACCCTGCAGGCTTCGGCTCCACCGGTAACAGCATAGGTAAATTGCGTCATCCTATCAACGCCCGAACTTCTCTGATTTCTGGAATTGGCCAGGCAGAGCAATTCAAAGCGAATTAAATTGAGGGGTTTATTTTCAGGTGCCAAAAACTCGTGGTCAACAGGCTCTCAGGCAAAGAGCAAGACAAAGAATACATACAACATCATGGTTAAGCAAGCCTTCGATAAATTATTTTTTCTTTAAAGAAAATCTCGAACGTTTTTAGGCCACAAGTGATGGCCCAATACTAATCAAAAACGATAAAATGAAAAAAAGGAAAAAAAAAAATGAGGAAGTAACGAAATCAAATGGATTGCATTTTGCAATATAGAACCACTAACTCTAGCTCTTCCATAAAATTACATTTATGCATAGTGAAACCAATGGCATAAATGATGTTTCTAAAATGAGCCAGAAATAATGGTTCCTTATTGCAAAATATGGCACAAATGATCAACGGATAGCAGTCCAAGTTGAACCAACCTTACTTTGTTATCTTGAGTCACTTTTTTTCAGGTTGAACATGGGGTTGTTAGGACCCCAAAACTTCGAGATTTTTTAAATGACTTACATATTTCAGCCTTAGTGACTCATATTTTTGTAGGTCTTTCTTTATCATCGAATGTAAGTCAATATTCTTCTCTCTGGTTTCATCCAAGTGATGGCCGCACTTTCATTGGGCATGACATCAACAGTAAACCAATTTGTATTGCCAAAGACAATTGCAATAGGACCATTCAAATTCTGCCAAATCTCCATCGTTATTGATATTATTTTTGAAAAGCAGCTATGAAAATTCTCCCTAGGAATTTCAAATACATTCAGTCACATACATTAAATACAGAGATAAATATTGCCTTAAATATTGATAATATTGAATTAAATTGTCTACAAAATTTAGAGAAAAAATTCACAGGTTCTTCAAAAATGTATACTTTAACGAAAGCAATCCGGCGACGCTCGAATGATCATACGACGTTTTTCCCTGGCACGGCACACAGTGGATCAAGTGAATTAGAGAGGTCGGACACGAAATTATTTAACAACAAATACAAATTCTGATGCTTGTTTCGTCAAATTTTAAGTTTCAAGGGGTGTTTGTAGAAGAAAATTTTACGAGGAAAACAATGAAACCGCTTTTAGAACCTCAAAGTTGTGTATAAACAGAGTTATGAGCGTTTAAAGTTTCCGAATTTTGTCCGACCTCACCTACTGACTCGACCCACTGTGCGGCAGCGGTGCACTACCGGGTCCCCGAACGTGATGCCCTCTTCAATTCCTCATTCCCACTTTCTGCTCATTATGAATTATCCCCGCTCGAGGCGCAGAATGCAGATAAATGCACGGCCCACTTTGCCCCGTTTCCCGCAAAACTCCGCCGATCCAACGCAGAAATCAGGAGAGTCTCCCACGAACTGGCAACGCCCGTTGCAACTGCATCTCCACTCCTAGCCGCCCCTTTTCGGGGGAATGAGCTTCCCGCAGATAACTCACTTTGCACGCGGCTTGTTTTAAGCCAATAAAGACGGTAAATCACAGGGCCATTAGTGGGTTGCATAATATTTTGAGGACACCGTGTGCTGATCAAAAGATCTTGACGCAGGCGCCAAGTATATACGAAAAATTTCCCGGACGACGGATGATTTGGACGTGTTTCTGCTAAGCGGAACTATGTGCGTTGAGCCTTGAGACGCTTGAGAATATATGCATAACAGGGCTCACGTCATAGTGCACATAGTTGCGTTTGGCAGAAATACGTCCATTTAAGAAATTTACCGATGGATCGGTTGCTTTTTGTAACAATTTCTTGCCTTTGAAAATATATCGGCCATAAGAGATGATTTTTTCAATGTCCCCATGCGCATTACATTGATAATTTTAACGCAGTCTGGAATACATGGTGGATGGCGTTAAATGTAGAGGTCTGAATTAGCGTTTTATATGACTCCATTCAACAGGCTTTCCAAAGGGCAAAATATTATTTTTCGTGCGGTATAGACATTTGATTTTGTCGTCTCTCTAACGTAAAGGCGTATTTCTATCGCATGAGCCCCTCAGTGCGCTGAATATTGAAATTGATAGACAAAGCAATAGACAAAAAGGACATAGGGAATAAAGAGTGATTCTATTGGTTGAAATGTGTGGTCCCTGTAGACTAAGGGAGAAAATGATGGACTAACTATCGGGCCACTCGTGAGTTGCCGCTAGTTAGTATCTTACGTATATACTTTTTCCATTACAACTACTCGATTTAACCAACAGAACCCTTCCATATCCCTTTATGTCTACCTGTGTATAGCTTCGTGTATCAATTTCAATAATCGGCCCTCAGAAAAACAAGAGGAAGAAGGAAAAGAGGAATAAAAAAGAGCGGTAGAGAAGAAAGGGACAACGAAGAAAAAAATGAAGTATAGAAGCAAAAACAGAAAGGAGGGGAGGGGAGGTAGAAAAAGAAGCATTTGTCTGTTAAAGATCATTAACAGCACACGTGTAGTCTCTAAAATGTGCCTAATACGTCAATGCCAAGGTGCAAAATGTAGCTCAACACTGCTGGATCCGCAAACAAGGGTGAAAGAGCAGCGAAAATTCGACGGGATTTTGATCAAAACTGCGAAGATTTTTAATTGATTTTTTCCCCCTGCGTTTTAGGTGCTGGTGATCAGTTGGCCGCTGTGTCAGAGGATGGCTCGACCCTGGGCTACACGTCTCTGGACTTTGACAAACACGGACTCGACGAGCTGAGGCGCAACCCGCTTCTGTCTTCACCCGAGGAGTGCGCCCGTGCCTGCAGAGAGGGCGAACCCCCCAGGATATGTTACTACCACTTCACCCTCGAACTTTACACTGTTCTCGGAGCGTGAGTATTTTTCATCAGCCGCTAATTCTCTGACTTTATCGCATGGACGTATTTTTGCTAGACGGAACCAGAGACAGATGGTAAAGAAGGGGTGCGCTCATTAGTCCAGGGCCGTAAGAATAAAGAGAATTAAAAAACGGTAGTGACGTCAGCTGTGATGGACAAAGGATCGAGTCAATAGGAGAGATCGGACAAAATTTGGAAATTTTATGGAGAGGAGTTTGAAATTGGAAACTATGTTTGACGTCATACATGGACGACCCCGGTATGATTTTTTTCAAATTTGGTCAATTAATTTAGAAAAAAATTTAGAATTTGCGACGAAAAATGCTATTCTACGTGACAAGATGCGAGCGGTTTATTTGATATTTTGGCTAAGGAAAGTGTAAAGCGGCACTTGATTCCGAAAATTGTATGTTGTAAGTAAATATTTCTTAAAAATCCGTTTTTTAAACGGCGAACTTTCGAATCATTAAAGCTCTGGTTTAATTTTGTAAAGGTAAGTTGCGTTAAATCTGCATTTATATTAGTCTATGGGTCAATGGAATCATGAATGCACGCGAAGAACCGGCGAATGCTCCTCGCAGCTCGATGCGCCTTCAAAAAATTGCGCAGGCAATTCGCCCATCGACGTGTTGTTAGATTTGTATTAACGAGACAGTCATTTCATGAGCGATGAGTATTACTTTAAACCGGGTCTGCGTATAAATTTATTCAAACAAGGATAATATTCAACCCACACATTATCAGTTTTCTCACAGTGCTGCTGTTCCACTTTGATTTCATTTTTTTTCTTAGATAGAAAGGACAATGAGGAGGACTGAAATTGCACAGGAGTTCACGTGTATTGGTTGATTTGAACAGAAATTGATTGAAGACAAGAGTAAATCACAAACATTTCAGGTCTTTGTAAGGAAAAATGTACTGTAAATATCTACAATTAATTTTCTTCGAAGACTATTTGTACTTTGATACCTGCTTTGTATTTTCATCAAACTGTATCGTGGGATTATTCTTTGATTACAGTGCTTGCCAAGTGTGCGTTCCCAATGCGACAAACACAGTATGGAGCCACTGTCAGTGTGTCTTAGCTGATGGAGTAGAAAGAGGAATTTTGACAGTCAACAGAATGATCCCTGGACCTAGTATACAAGTAAGTCCTCATTTCGATAATTTTTCGTCTAGGAAGAACGTACTCAATTTATAAAACAACTGTATATTGTAAGCTAAAAATATTAAGTCGTCCCCCTTTTCGCCCAGAGAGGGTACGCCATTTGGAGGGTCGGCACTACAAGCTTGACAGTCCATCCCTGAATGGATTGGCAATTTTGCTCAAAAAGCAACAACTCCAAAAGCAATCTATGTTTAGAAAAATTTAATTGAGAGTCTCTTTCATATTGTTCGAAGGAAAAGGAAGTCAAGGAAACATGAATTGACTACCCAAAAAATGTCCTAATAGATAATAAATCATTTTTCTACGGCATTTTTTTACTAAAATCATTTCACCCTCAATCACTTTAGTTGGTCAAAATTGAGGATCATAATCAGTAATGTCAAATCCGAACGGGAATTCTGGTAGCAGTATCCTTGAATATGGTCACTCGTCTTACGACTTAAAAAAAAGAGAGACTAAGATGAAAAAAGCCTTTGTAGGTGCCGGTCCTTAATTTATTCAGTCAAACACCGGTTGAAACAAGTGATAAAAAGAGGTAAAAAGGAAATCCGCCTTTTTTCGTCACTTTCCGGATCACCTACTTTCCTTTCACCAAGTCATGGCCGTCATCTTGGCCGCTTGGATTTTAGAATTAATGTTGATCATTCAGAAGGCCGAGATGGTTTTATATTTAGCCCCAGTTACTTGTCGTGCGTAGTTATAAACAAAAAAGAAGTAAGCGCCGTCTTGGTTTGAGGTTTGGTGGCGTAACGTGTACGAATCATAAAAGTCTTTCCAGGAACGAATTAGCAACCGTAAAAAGATATTGTCGCAACGAGCTGGTAGTAAATGCGGTGTGCACCTGTCAGTAAAAGGGGGCGGTGTTCTTAATCTTTGGTGCAATTTACGTTCCATTATTTTGAATCTTTGCCCTCCACTTTACGTAATTTTTGACTGTCGTTTGTATCATGTCTCTCTCGCCAAAAACTCTTTGAAAAAGAAGAAGTTCAATTTGAACGTAAAATATGCTTAAAAAATTTAACAAGACAATTCAAATTTTTAGTTTTGTAACGTCGTATTTAGAAAGGAACTTGTAGTTTGAAAAAACAAAAAAAAAAATTCTACTCAGTTTTTATTCGGATTTTTAATATTCCAATTTTCAAGTTTTTGAAGTCCAACCAGAGTTAGAGCTGCTGTCTCTAACGAAGATAGCTTGACCTGTTTATTCAACTGAACACTATATTTGCTCTGAACGTATTTCTACACGTTCATATTCATTGTTATGCATTCCGATTTGAAGTGATCAGTGATCACTTCACGATGAAAATCATTGAACACCCTAATTCTAGGTTTTATCTACTATAAACAATGTTCGCAGCATCGATAAATTGACATTAGTTTGGTCTGAATATAAAACTATTCGGGGACTGTCTCATGTCTCTAAACATTTTCGTATTTTCCGATCATAAGTAGTCCATTAAATATGGGGAAAATGATAAGAGGAGCAGGGTAGTGAAGGGTGGAGCATTCACATAATAGTGAGCTGATTTAAGAAACTTAATACTTCCGTAATTGGACTTCAAATCGACCGCCAAGTAGGTAAGGCATTTATGATCATCGAATTTTTTCAAACAAGCGTTCTAAATCTTTTTACGACCTAGGTCGTGTCAAAAATTCTCAGCAGTCAATCAATAATGATTACCAAATTCATGTAGTGTTGACAAAAAATGAGCAAATTCTCACCGCTAAAAAGGCAACAATTTAATGAAATGATGACGACACGGCGATTCGGATGTTATTTGCTGCCTACCTTCATTTTTGACAGCTAGCCTCAAGTACACGCAAGCAGTAAAGCCTCTCAGTTGGTTCCAAGCAGTTGAAAAGAGTTTATTGAACATGCTTTTACTTTTACCTGACCTCTTCCAAGCTCACTCTTTTTTTCCGCTCTCAATGAAACTAGTCCAATTTTACGCAAGCGTCCGTTATATAACGCACGAACTTTACGGTCAAACGATCACAGCTAACTTGGCCATTCATAGCTTTCTTTTCTTTTTTATCGATTCTGCTTCAGCGTGCGAGTTTAGCTAATAACCGAGGAGATTAGCACATATTTTGAAGGCACCCAAAGATAAAGAGTTTGATCTTTGAGTATTTTTTCCTTCAATTCTCACTAACCTTTAACGTAAGATTTACATTCAAATTGGCGGAGGGCTGGTAATTTTGTTAGTTTCATTTTTTCTCACATGGCCAGTGATTGAAAAAATATATGAACAAATCAAATTTAACAACATATGACGGAAAAAAAAAAGTTGAAAAACGTTTGCAAGCTGACAATGAAATAAATCAAGCGAAGCTCAGCGGAGGAAATTGACCGATAGCTGAAGTTGAAAACTGCGCAATCTCCGTGTAGGAACGCTGATTCAACATACCGTGTATAAAATATATGATTCAGTGCACTATTTAGCGTTTTGAATGCATATGATATTGAATTTCGGGTCTCCCTTCTGCGCAGGTTTGTGAAGGAGACAAAGTTGTTGTAGACGTCAGGAACCAGATGGAAGGTCTAGAAGTCACAATCCATTGGCACGGTATCACCCAACGTGGAACTCAGTACTCTGATGGTGTTCCCATGGTTACGCAGTGCCCCATCTTACAAGGAAACACTTTCCGGTATCAATGGTACGCGAACGCTGGTACTCACTTCTGGCACGCTCACACTGGTAAGCAAAACTAAAATCTGTATTTAAAATATACTAATAACGTTTTAAGGCAAAATGTAGCGTGGTTTACTCGTAAAAAAGTAAAACACAAAAAAACACCAGGATGTAGTTATTTCTGACTGATTTTAGTCAATGCCGGCTAAATATTCTTTAATAGTCACTCTGCTGTAGAATTTGAGAGGAATTTAGAATTTCCCGAGAATTTTTTTTGTCCCAATTTTCATTTCATTTTTTATCTATATGAAAACCTCTCGTTGGTTATTACGTTGATCTTAATTTCAAACTTGACGCTCTGCACAATTTCTGACATTCTGAAAAACATTGAAGAAATGGTGTATTCCTGAGGAAAATACACTCATACTTAAAAATGAGCAATGCATTATAGAAGCGAATAGCTCCATCAATTTTTTTGTTTTCTCGTCTTTCAGGAGTCCAAAAGATGGATGGTATCTACGGAAGTATCGCCGTGCGACAAGCTCCTTCAGAGGACCCAAACAGCCACCTTTACGACTACGATTTAACGACTCACGTCATGCTCCTCTCGGATTGGATGCACGAAGACGCTTTGGAGAGGTTCCCCGGAAGACTTGCCGCCAACACTGGTCAGGATCCTGAGACTCTGCTCATCAACGGAAAAGGACAGTTCACGGTAAAGATTTTAAATATCATCCACTAAAACGATAAATTGGCTTCGGCTATCACTGAGTGACTTCGATCGAATTTTTAATCGTTCTATTTTTTAAAATCGTTAAATATTGACAAGATATTACCCAACATTGCGGTAATAGGTCAGACTTCCCTACTCAACGAATCACGAGAGAATTCTTCCGTTCATCAGAGGAGGAATGTCCTGATGAGGAATTTTGGCAATACGTCCGCGAGAAAACGAAGGGAAGCAAGCAACCTTGATTGCCAAACCATGTGGTAAAATTTGCCCTCCTTATATTGAATAACACGGGGAAAAGTTCTGAGTCTTTGTCACAATGCGGCAACAATGAGCAAAGCAATACGTGCGTGTCCGCATAGATCCACANCAGGATGTGGGCTAACGACCGAGGACGCAGGCACAGTGGAGCGGCAACATCAGGGGATGCCTATCCCGCCAAAAGGCGGGAGGAGGAAACCCGAGAAAGTCACCGAGGTGGCAGTCTACGGGGTCGAAGGGTAGCCGACTATCTCTAGCAATTTGCCGGCTAACTCGGGTACGGGGGAGCGTCAAACCCCAGATCCACAGACAGATCCCCTGCGTTAAGATCCACATGGTGAGCCGGATGAAAAGTAATCAAACTAAACAGTTAAAAGTAAGAAAGAAAAATCAACCGTTCAAGGAAAAATCAAACATGAGCCACTGTGTCGAAATTCTCCCTTTCGCTCCACATTCATTCTCATCGGTTTTTTGGGAGCTCGATAGGCTCTGGAATAAAAGACACTCAAGATACCACTTCCGATAATTTTTTTACAGCAGGTGGACTTATGTGTGAAGGTAAGCAAAGCAGGGTGGCATGAAACGTAAGAAAGAAATGAAAGATTGGAAATTTCAATGAAATATTTCATGAAATATCACGAGGCTATGAAATATTTCATATTTTTCAGGGGCTAGAGTGTGCAGCCCGCACTCAAACACACAAAAATAGAAGAAAGTCACAATTTTTATATTTTTGAAAACATGGAAAGCAATCGGTATTTTTCAACATCTTTCATAAATTTCTGATATTTTATGAAATATTTCACGTGAAATTTCAAGATTTTATTTTTCATGAAATTTTGCCACCCTGAATCAAAGTCCTGGCGGCATTGACCATGCTATAGTAGACAACATGTAAGTAAGCGCACAAGCGTGTTGTGAATGCAACTTGGATTTAAATTAACTGCACCCAAATCCACCTGGGTCATCATAATTTTTGTTCCTTGTGGCAGCTGATAATTCAGCGCGACGTCTTATTAAAAGATGACCTTTTGAGTTTACAAATAATTCAATATTCTTTAATTTAATTTTTTAGGATCCAATGACCGGCTACAGCACCAACACCCCCTTGGAAACATTCACGATCACTCCTGGCAGAAGGTACAGATTCCGTATGATCAACTCTTTGGCTAGTGTCTGCCCAGCTCAACTGACTGTTCAAGGTCATCCCCTCATCCTCATCGCCACCGATGGAGAGCCAGTCCACCCTGTTGTTGTAAACACCATCATCTCTTTCTCAGGTAATTTTAATTTTCACCGACGAGAATTAGACCAGATATAACGTCAGTTGAGTCCAATATCAACGAATCGATGTATTGATGAGGTCAAGTTCGTTTGAATCCAATATGGTACATTTGAAAGACATTAAAGTGATCGAGTCAAATTGCATCCTAGCTTTGATACTAAGTTTTCTTTAAATAAAATACGAAAACTATTTACGAAAGGTTTTTCAAATTTAATAAAAACTATTTTTAAAACCATTTCAACGTTACCGATGTTTGATGCCTATGCGTGCAAAAGGTCTGAATCTCTTCTCCACTATACTTCCTAAATTTGAAGACTTGAACGAACGGTGAGAAAAATTGACGCTCTAAATATCGAAGCGATTTACCCGTTCTGAGGAGCGTATACATGTTTTTAAAACATAAAGGCTTAAACGCATAATCAATCGTTACTCTTTTTCACGTACTTTTTCTGAAAGGAACGAAATAGAGAAGAAAAAAGATAAAGATACACAGAGCTTCCCTAAAACTTGCCATAATCTCAAGATAGTACTTTAATTTAACACTTTTTAGAACCATGAGAACTTTCGAAAAATACCTGTTTTCTAAGAAAACAGTAGGGAAGATTTTTATTTTGACCGCGTTTAGCAGAAAGGAACCAAGCCACATCTGCTATTTCCAAATTTAACTGGACAATTTAATATTTTGCAAGATAATGTATGAGTGGATTCCTTTGAAAAAATTAAGGAATCTGCATCATACTATTCGGAAAATTAACTGAAATACAACAACCCGCAAAACCATTTTTATGTAAAAAAATTAATTGCCCACTTAAATTTGGCAAAAGCTGATGTGGCTTGGTTCCTTTCTGCTATACGCGGTTCATTTCAAGCTGCACCTGAAATGCATGTTATATATGTTTGAACAATCCAACTAATTCGTCATTCAGTTTTAATTCGAAAAAATGTTCTAGATGTTTATGAGAGTTTCTAGTAAAATAACCCCTTATAAATTATATCGTGTTGCAGGAGAAAGATACGATTTCGTGATCAATGCCGAACAGCCCGTCGGAGCTTACTGGATCCAAGTTCGAGGACTCGGAGAATGTGGTAACAAACGAGTGCAGCAATTGGCCATCCTCCGGTACGCTCGAGGACCCTACCAACCCACTTCCCGTGCTCCCACCTACGATATTGGAATCCCACAAGGAGTCGTAAGTTACAACTGCCGAAAAATTTACTCGTTTGTCCAAAAATTAAAGTAACACGAGAATATTTTAAGGTGCATTTTCTAAAAACGTTCTAAGGAATTCTGTAATGTTCGCTCCCAAAGAAGATTCCTAAAAGTTGGTTACATTGAGCTTCATCCATTCAAATTCGGCCTCCTATGGTGTAGTGGTTGTAGCGCTACCCTAGTAGCAGAGTTATATAAAAAATTTGTTTTTAAAAGTATAAACCGTAAATAACCACAAGCTAAAGAATATTCATTGTTTATGTAATGGATGTAAAGTTTTTTAGTTAAAAGTTTACTAAAAAACTTATTTTATTATGTAACCCTTAGTATAAAAGTTATATAACCAAATTCAAAGAGTGTATAAAATGAATTTTCATTATTCTTCCTGGCTGGTAGCGCACTCTAGTTATGAAGTGTGCAAGTTTTCATATGCGTTACTACCAGGTAGTGGATCATCGTAGAGTTGTGACTTACCTTAAATCCGCGCCGTCCTAGTCGGGATTAGAACCCACGCTTCGGGATGGAGTTGCAATCCGAAGTCCAGTACTTTACCACCAGACCAGCCAGGCTTGATATGAATGGGCCCCTAAATTCAATCTCTTAACTATCGCAGGCCTCTGAGTCCGTAATATTTTGTTTATTGACGGATTCTTATGATATTTTACCAGACTTTATTATTTATTATTTATTTATTTCTTGTTTTTTATTTCATGATGTAATTTTTTTATTTTCATTTTTTTTAACTCTCTCTCATTTTTTTAGCTCTCTCTTTTTTTTAACTATCATGATTTTTAACTATCATTTTTTCTAACTCTCTCTATTTTTTTTAACTCTCATTTTTTTAACTCTCTCTCTCTCTCTATTTTTTAACTTTATAATTGCGTATTTTCCCAGTTTTAATTATTTGGGCCTTTTTCTAGTTTGAATTTATGTCGATGTATTTATGTTATTTATTTATTATTATTATCATTTCCTTTTTTCTTTTAAATTTTTATATATTAATTTAAACATTTTAAAAAAAATCAAAATTTTTAAAATAATATTTAATAATATTTTTAAAATATTAACAAAAATAATTATGATATACTTTAAAAATATTATAAAATATTATTTTAAAAATTTTAATTTTTTATATTTTTAATATATTTTTAAAATGTTTTAAAAATATTCATTGATTGTATTTCAAAAGTACTTTTGAAAATATTTTAAAAATACATGAAAAACATTTTAAAAATATATTAAATTTCAATATTTTTAAAATATTGCTGTCTAACTGGGCAGGGTTATGAGCCAGACACGCTACCAACTGAGGTAACAGGGCTCCTCGGATTGTGTGCCGAGATATCCCCTTTTAACTCGTCTCGGAGCCATTAGTACCTCTAATAATACCTATCCCACGCAGTCTGAGAGTCGAGGGTGTTCATTGAAATGAGATCATCATCATCATTCATGAAAATGAGATAGGTTTACGTTAAAGTTATTCAGGTCATTTATATAACAGTTATAATAAGCAAATTAAGCAAAAGGATACTATGCGTATAAAGAAAATTTATAAAAACCCTTCCTCAATTATATAAATTTTATATAAACGTTATCTTCTGAAAATATGAATAATTATTTTCATGGGCATTTTATATAAAACTTATATACACGATATATAAACTTTAGTTAAAATGGTGATTATATAACCGGTATTAATTCCTTATACGTTTGTTAGGAAGGGAAAAGTGAATCATGCTACTAGGGTAGCTCTATGGTCGGGAGGTCCCAGGTTCGATTCCCAGCCAGGCGACCCGAGTTTTGATGGTCCCAAACAATGGTTGCCTGGGACTGGTTGTTCGGGACGGAGGGGGGACGAGACTGAAGCGCAGGATTAGCCCTTGTGGGCTACTGCTTGAAGTAATAAAAAAGAGAAGAAAAGAAGAAGAAAAACAATTATGTGATGCAATCTGTATCCATCGATCTTAGCTGAAGCAGGCTTCACTAACAATAAGAATACATTATTTGCAATGTGTTACATGGAGGCTATATTCTGCAAACTTAAACATAATTATTCATCAAGCACCTGAAAAAACTCATTTGACCTATCATCGCTCTTGTTTGTCCTCGCAGGTTCTTAACCCGTTGGATGCCGTCTGCAACAGACCGAGAACCGATGCCATTTGCATAAACCAATTGAAAAACGCCAAAAAGGTAGATAAGGCTTTACTCCAAGAACTGCCCGACATCAAGATCTTCTTGCCGTTCAAATTCTTGTTCTACCGACCTGAGGAAATCTTCACACCACACACTTACAACAGATTCTTGGGTAAGTGCCATTTCGTCACTCGTTTAATGCAAACGCGCCGCTAAAGAGATGATAGTATAAGGAAGTACCAGTCACAGAAAGCTTTCAATTCCACCTTTTGTCCACCCTCCTTAATCTATCATGAGTCTCTCGAGACGCAAGAGCAGTGATTACATTTTCAGATTAGCCCGATGCAGCTTTAAGAAGTTTCTCCTATATCTGTTTGAGAGTTTCGAATGGCTGAGTCCGAGTGAATAGGGTCATTCTTAGAAGTATTTAATCTACTGGCATTTAACGAACAGAAAAAGCAGGTTTCTGAGCCAAGTGAGAATGCAGCAAATGGACGTTGTGGGTGCCGATCTCGCATCGACTTTCTCAATTTTGTGACCTGAAAACGCTTACAGTTGCAGAAAAAGGTATCAAGTTGTCCAACTGTTTCCGACTAAAAATTTAATATCATTGTTGATAAGAGCAATGAAAAATCCGATTACAGCATCAATGGAGGGCATCTATATCTTTTTTGAGAAAATGATCACACCTCTGATATTGACTTATCTTTGCCGCTGATGTTAATCACTAATATGACGTCATTTTGTGTCGCAGTTGCTCCGGGTGGTGGAGATCATGTCATCAGTTTAGTGGACAACATTTCGTACGTTTCGCCACCAGCTCCACCTCTAAGTCAGATCGACGACATCCCACCAGAGATGTTCTGCAACGGAGACAACAGGCCAGCAGACTGTGGAAGGAACTGTATGTGCACACACAAGGTGGACATTCCTCTTCACGCTATTGTAGAGGTCGTTCTCGTCGACGAGGGTAAGTTTCAAGTCTCCCACTTCTCAAAACTTGAAAACTCTCCGAAATCATAACGCACATTCACGAAAAAGAGTTTGTAATTTCCTCATGAATACAGGGCAATAAACGGCTAAAGTCGGAAAATGTGCATCTTCAATCGGGACAAAGCAAATCTCCACTCGTGTTCAAATTTTTTAAGAGAAAAAACATTTTTGTTAAAATTTTTCTTGAATGTTCATCACATTAACAATATTCGCAGAAAATGTTAAGGAGTTCTCATGGTCCGCGTTCTTTCAGAAAAATGAAACATATTCGAGGATTCTTTTCATTGTGCCGGCTCCTCAGCTTTCTCCTCTTTCTCTCTTTCGTTCTATTCAGAAAAAGTACGTAGAAAACATGAATAACGAGTGATTGTGCGTTTAGGTCTTCCAGTTCAATGAAAAAATGTGCACTTTGCCCAGAACAGATATTTTATCGTTCCAATATTTAGATCGAGCGTTATTTTTTCTAACCGTTCGTTTAAGTCTCCAAATTTAATCACTGGAAAATTACTCATTTCTTGTCTTCAGCCATCGAAATTTTGTGTAAAGCTGAACTTAAAAAGTTAGGTCTCTGATACCAGCCGCAAGTCGAATGATTGTGCCAACCAGGAACGTATGAAAAATGTTCTTACAACATTTTCAAAACATTATTTTTAAAAAAAACACCATCGTGGCAAAAATGTTTTTGCACACATTTAGCTGGACGGGTTCATCACTTTAATTTTGAAAACTTCTTGGTAGCGTATTGTTCCGGACGTAAGCAGTTGTATTACTGATATCTTTTCCGTCCGTATTTCGAGAGTTTAGTGCGGGTAATTGATGTATTATTTTTATTTGTTTTCAGTACAACAACCAAACTTGAGTCATCCGTTCCATTTGCACGGTTACACATTCAATGTCATCGGTATGGGTCGATCACCAGACAAGAACGTTAAGAAAATCAACTTGAAACACGCATTAGATCTTGACAGGCGAGGACTGTTGGACAGACACTTCAACCTTCCTCCCGGCAAGGACACAATTGCAGTACCAAACAACGGATACGTTGTCTTTAGGTTTAGGGCAGACAATCCAGGTAAGACATCCATTCAATCCTTTAATTCGGTAATCATTTTTTATTGAGATTTTACCGATAGAAATGCAGTAACTTTTACGGGGATGGGTGGTATATTAAAAGTAGCTAATCAGTTTTTTTCTGAAGATAGCCAAACATGGGATCAAATCGGTCATTATCAGGTCTTAAAAAAATTTACAAAGGAGGCAATTCATTATTTGTGTGGAATTTCTCTGAGCCAGTTTTTGTCCCTCTTTACTGAAAAATGATAATGTTTGTGAAACGTGATCATCTTCAATCTTGTGACCCTCTTACATATTTCTTCTTTTTCCTTTTATTTCCTCTTCCACCGTATATTTCTCAGTTTTTACTGCTTTTCCTCCCTTTTACTTTCTTTATCTTTTCCTCTTCTTTCTTATTCATATTTCTCTTTTTCCTTTTTTTTCAAATTCAACTTCATATTATTTGGGCCCTCTCTCCTTTAATATTCTTTTTCTACCTATTTTTCATCTTAATTCTCTTCTTTTAATGCACGTTTAGGGTGAGACATTTTGACATTTGGAACACATTTTGCAATTAGGAACTATAAATTCCGGCTCTGTTTAAAAACAACGTAGGTGCCATTAGTTTTCCTATGCACATAAGAGTTTTTTCGGATGAGCCAGAAATTATAGTTCTTAATTGTAAAATGAAGTCCATTTTATTTTGTTGATCTCGGCTGCGGAACCGGCAGAGATCGACAACTTCGGTAACATATCTAATCTAATGATTCTAACGATAACCTTTTTTTGATTGCAGGTTACTGGTTGTTCCACTGTCACTTCTTGTTCCACATTCTCATCGGTATGAACTTAGTCCTTCACGTAGGTACTCACGCCGACCTACCACCAGTGCCAGAAGGTTTCCCTCGATGTGGAGACTTCTTACCCCCGGTCAGTTTACATTGATAGCTGCTAAACCAATTCAGACACTCGTGTACCTATCTAAGCCAAGCCACGATGACCAACTCATTTCTCGAGTCTGTCGTTGAGTAACTTCAAATCCTCATTCTTGTGTTCAGATTCTTAAGCAAGGGGTACTTCAGTCAAATCATCTCATTTGTAAATAGTCATCTTGTCACCCGAGACCCGAGTAAGCGGGATATGGCGAATCCTTCTCAGAGACGAAAAGCTCTAAACTCTATCAACTTAGCTCATCTCCCCTTTGGAAGTGATTGTGCGCGAATTGCATTATTATGAGTCAATGAGTCGGCAATGAAACAAATGCGCGTAATTTTACGTGCATTTGTAGCTCCGATTAACCTATCTCCTACGGTCACTGCACGGTTAGGAGACTATTTTTCACGGTGCAGTCAAGTCAGGGAAATTCAAGCGCTCTGCGAATGAAAGGACATGAATGCACACCCAGCCAAGCTCCATCTGAGTTCTCATCCGTTTCAGGATTTTTAAACAAAATGACTCCTACTTACTCTGTGGTGACTTATTGTAGTATTTGAAACGTCGATCATCAGCATTTGCCCGGGAAAAAGTTGATATTTACATCATGCCGAATAAACGCAAAATGGGTTTATTCATTATGAGTATTCTTCGCACATTGAATTATTTTGCCGAAAAGTGTACTCATCTATAATGTAGAGCATTCCGGATCCGGGCTAATATTATAATTTTGCAGCTCCAGTTTCGCTGTGACAATGAGTGTAAGGGGATGATTTCCATCTGAAATTTTTATTAATGGAGAGCAAAAATGATGCATGCGTCCTATTCTTCTTACTCGCGCTCTCTCGGGTTCTTTTCTTCTTTAAATCGCCTTCAGCGTAAGCGTTAGGGGGAAATAATTTTCATTGCCAAAGCTGCAAAGCTCTAATTACTTTTCCTCTACCGTCAAAAGTCGAAATTCACTTTTGTGGGAAACTGCAGCTATTTTGAAAATTCGAACAACTGAGTAATGTTACCAATTTTCTGTTTCGAGATCACCGAGCAGCTGCAATCAGCCGATATGTTTAAAATGTGAGAAATAAGCCATAAAACTTTTTTGACTGATGAACAGTTTCAAAATAATGTACAGTGTCCCTCCCCCCCCTCTTTTTTTTATCTCTCATTTTCACCAATCAGATCCATCAAAACATCCCGTCCAGAGTAACGCATTAGTTACATGTCTCGTTGCAGCTACTCGGCCTTGAAGCTCCTTATTCTTAGTTGATTGTGAATATTTCAATGTTGTTCCCGTGAATTTTCCATGTAAATAAAATGCCATAATGTATCTTTACCTTGCGTCTCTCGAAAGTTGCTTCATACATACGTTGATTCAGCCTCATTTTGCGGTCATTCCCTATCTGTTATGATGTGCGATCATTCACATAAATCTCAAATCTTAAAGTTTGCATGGAGAAAGTTCAATTGCAATACCTACTACGTCTCAAAATTACTGATTTTTAGGAAAAAAAGAAAAATGAATCTATTCAAGCAGTTTATAATTTTTAGATGTGTGGCTCAACCAAGAAATTGTTTTTTAAATTACATTTTGTTTTGAATTTTTTTGAATACTTACATGGAAAATTAAGGTTCAAAGCCTCATCAATACTGTTTTGATTCAAACTGCAAAAAGCCCCCAAAACATCAGAACACCCGAAACGTCAAGTTACAAGATTTGTAGTGCACTTAGTGATACACGATTTTAATTGTGGTTAATCTTATTTTCTGTTGACTTTTGAAGACTCAAGTTAGACCTTTTTCTTTCACTTTCATTTCTATTTCATCTTATCTCTATGAATCATCCCTTGTTTTATCGTATGGCTCCTGAAAGAATCTGAAATAGTACCATAATCCTCTTTTTTCATAAGATAATTTCGCATAAAGGAAACACTCTCGCCTTAAGAAAAAACTAGAAACTAATAGAAGATTCCTTTTAAAATGTAGCCATTTTACCAAATAGTTGATTAAAAATCAATGTTAGGTATTTTATTTTTATTTATTATTTTTTCGCCGACTACGATTGATGGTGATATAACGGTCAGTATTTGACGAAAATTATAGAATTTTCTTCTCAATAATGATTATTTTCCAAATTTCAAACTCTCTCATACAAAGTGACCACGTTGTTCTACTCTATGATTATTGTGGTCAGTGCCATTTTCTCCTGATATAAGAGGAACAGATTCAAAGCTTAAAATTAAAGATTCCAATAATCCTAGCATCCAATTTTGACGATGAAAAGTAAAAAAGGGGGAGAAGAAAAAAATATAAAATAATATTGCATTTTTTTTTTTTTTTAAACTTTTATTCCCCCTCAAATTGTGCGTATTTACTTCCCCAAAATATCTGAGTATGTCATCATAATGCGACCGTTATAATATTAAAAAATTAAGTGGTTTCCTTTGAAATTTTATGAAAAAAGTGTACGAAATCGGTATGCGTTGCGACTGCGTACTTATTTGTTATTTAGATATGCCTATTTTGTGTTGAATGTGTTAGCTATTTGTTTCGTGTGAATGTTTTTTTACAAATGTTATTTTAAGTCTGTCATCAAAATGTTTTCCAAATTTTTGTATCTATAAATTTAAACTAATTAATTTATCAGAATTTTGTACAAAAACATTTTTGAAAAAAATAAAAAAAAATTATTAATAGTTGGTTTGAACATCACATGCACATCTGAGGTGCGTACTTATCACCGCACCGGTGTGAAGTATCGATTAAAAACTTCTTTCAATTTGGTGACTTCATGAAGCTTGGAGACTGGGTATGTTTCTCCGGAAATAAGAACCTTCAAGATGTGATTCAGAAAAATTTAGTGATGCTCAAAATTGTAGGGGGAAAAAATTGAATACCATCACTGTCTTGATGTCTTTAGGAATAAGTGCAGAGTCATTGATTTTTTGGCGAATTTTGTAGGTGACTAACGTACATTTCTTTAGTAGCATCTGAATTATGTTTTAAAATTTTCATAGGTAATTTACAACTAATATTGAGCTATGATTTAAATTGAACACAAATTCAAACTTAGTGGTCAGATTTTTGCAATCAATCTCCGAATCTTTTTAGAAGAGATCCCGGAAATTTCGCTTCGTTTCTCGAGGATATAAAATGACCACATTGATTTGATAACTTGAAAATATCGCTCGGCAAATTTCAAACTTTCATTTTTCCGGTGAAATTATTGAAGATGAATAGGTACAAAATACGCATTCTCAGGATAATATTAAATAATAATGTCCTTCTCATCAATTAGTAAATTACATGCGAGTATGGCTGAATCGTTAAATATCGATTTATTTCCTATGATAGCATTGAGAGTGGCCATGATACTGTTTGGATCGAATTCGATAAAAATAATTTTTGTTAATTGTTCAGATTTCGATGCAAACAATAATATAACTTCATCCAATGCAAAATGGGAATTATTTGATTCTACCCCACGGGCGTGCCAATTTCGGATGGAGGGGGGAGGGGGTTCCTTTCATCCCCTCTTCCTCCCTCTTCAACGGGCACCCCAGCTACTGTGGTGGTCGATGACATGAATAATACCGTTAACTTTTATTCTGCATTTATTTTTAATGTAACGTCACAGTTATAGTAATTTGATTTTATTATCTTCGAGGTCTGCGTGCCCGTGCATAAAACAATAAGTTTAACTGCATCATCACTCTAATTATTATAATTTTAATTTTTATGTTTATGCTCAAAAGGTACCTTATTTGTACATTCCAAAATAGAAACTTTAGGATTATTAAACAATTTTGATTCATAGCGTAAGTTGAAGCCAACGGTTTCATCAAGTGGAGTTGTGACGCGTGTATTTTTGAATGCAACTTAGAAGTTGATACTTATATGCATCAATTGTGTAAATTACTGTAAATAAACTTACTTAGGGTTCAGCGCAATATTTTTTCCAATGATTAATTTGACTCAAACAAATAACCTGGTATTGACCTGGAATTCAGCTGCAGCTCGAAGCTGTCCGGATTTTTTATATTCTGGACTTTAAGTAATGCCAATTTTTTAATAATCTTTGCAGACGTGGCCATCAAATATGTGTAAGAACTTATTTTCTTTTTGTTTTAAACAAAGTGTATTATCAGGGACCACTTTTTGAAATGCATTTTTGTAATTTTACTAAATTAGTCTATGCATTTAAATTTCTTAGTTATAATTTTACCATTGCTTATCGTATCAAAATAAAATGAGTTTTATTGATGTAATCCCTCATGTCTTTTCAATTTATACTGATATGTACCTTATTATCCTTGGACTAAAATTTTATAAATAATCCCCTGAGTATAATTAAACGTTTACTGAAGAGATCGATCTTACTCGTCAGTGTCGTGGGGCAAAAGAAACCACTTCAATTAAACCCTGTACCTATTGGACAACGGACATTTGCGAAGGAGCCGATTCAATTAGTCTTATCAATTAGGTTTTCCTTTAGTCCTCCTATGGCATAGCGTTACGAATTCGTAACAACGTATTTTTTGGGTTTTTACGGACTAAACCTTTCCTCTGTGGCATAACTTTGCAAATTTGCATTAGTTTTTTTCTTTTTTTGGATAACTGATTCCCAAAAATTTAAAATTATGACAAACAATGTAGTACACTATGTTTTTTATGCAAGTTACATATACATAAGTGTCCCCAGAATCTGAGATCCAAGATTAATTCATAAATAGAAGGTACAATTAACTTACAAGTGCATATCAAGTTGCTCCTGGATCCTGAAGGTCTAACTCAAATGAGAGAGAATCAATGCGCATGACTTAGTCCGCCTTCAATCCAGAGGTTATGCAATTTAATCTACTCGGAAGTTAAAATATTTGTATCACGCGTTTCGGTCTGTCAGAAGTGTCGGAGCAGATAGCTGCGCTTAAACGTGGTATGTGCCAGCATGTTACTGTAATCAGCAGTTACGTACTTCAAAATTAAGTTTTACTAAAATGCAGTTGGTTGAGACGCTCGATCTTTTTTGTGTTTTCATTAGGACAGATGACCAGATGATTATCCATCTTGATCAAGGTACAAGAATCAAGTAATCTAGTGACAGCAATTGAAAAACATCGCGCCGACAGATGTCATAATGTCACATAAAATTGACTACAATGTAAGGTGTCGACACTGCCTCCTACCGTTCTGAAACATTCTATCAGACATTATTTTCTGCACACGTTCATTCCATTATATATCTACATCAGTAGTTGTAAAAATTAGTTCTCACAGAAACTTTCCCAATAATTTTATAAATTAATAAAAACAAACGATGTAGCATTTGTTTTTAATGAGGTCTAGGATGATCAAAGTAATGATTCGACTAATTCAAAATTCAACACTATCGATGCGGAGAAAATAAGAACCAAGAAGTGGACACATTATAAACCAGAATGAATAAGCCTAGCTGCTGTTCATGTTGCCTGATTTCCTCTCATGTTTTATTTTGTTCACAGAAATCTAAAAAACGTATTGCTTTGAAACTTCCTGTGAATTTCCTCTCCATTACAGGGCCATATGTAGGGGGTGGCCACATGGGTCGCGTCTCATAGCGGCAAATTTTGCGATTTTTGTTTTAGTGTACCTAGGTTTCAAAAATAAATAACAAGCAGGGAAACTCAAATCCGTAGGTATTAGAGAATAGCGCTCAGCAGTTAGATTTTGCTTCCAGTAAAAAAGTAACATATTTTACGAAGAATATTTTTATTCATTCATTTCTGTACGTCCGTCGGATGTCGAAAAGGGAAAAGTACGATACACAAAGCACATGGACAGGATTGAAAGAAAAAGACGCGGCTCAAAAGCTGCATAATGCGGTAACGATTAAAGGCTATTTCCATTTAAATCTTCCGTCACATTCATACGGCGCAATGATACAACTATTTGAACTCTCCGGAATGCGTGAGGTATCATGCCGCATTTGAAGGCGTTTTCAATTGAGCCAAATTCCGATACCCGGATTATCGTTTTGCATAGTTCATGTTCTTTTGTTATATTCCGTACCGCACTTGTTTCATTATAATCCTCCTATTAAACCACTCATTTGCTAAATATAATTCTAGCTGGAGCGCACTTCAGCTATGCATTCACCACTGCAAAAATTTTAAAGGAAATCGACAAGCCCAGCGTGCATGGAGGTTATTTCCATTTAAATCTTGCGTCGCATTTCTAATAAGGCGCAAATATACAACTATTTGAACTCTCCGGAAAGCGTGAGGTATCACGCCGCATTTGAAGGCGTTTTCAAAACAGTCAAGTTCCGATACCAGAATTATCGTTTTGCATAGTTCATATTATATTTTGTTTCCATTTCTAACCACTTGTTTAATATAATCCTCCTATAAAAGCCACCCATTTGATAAGTACTATTCTGGCTGAAGCGCACTTAAACGCATTCATGACTGCAAAAATGTTAACGGAAATCGAAAAGGCCAGCGTGCAAAAAGGCTATTTCAATTAGCATTCTTCCGTCGCATTCTTACGGCGCAATGATACAACTATTTGAACTCTCCGGAATGCGTAAGGTATCACGCCACATTTGAAGGCGTTTTCAAAACAGCGAAGTTCCGTTATGGGACTAATCGTTTTGCATAGTTCATATTCTTTTGTTATTTTCCGAACCACTCGTTTATTTTTAATCCTCGTAGACAAACCACCCATTTGCTAAATAAAATTCTAGCTGGAGCGCGCTTCAGCTATGCATTCACCACTGCAAAAATTTCAGAGGAAATCGACAAGCCCAGCATGCATGGAGGCTATTTCCATTTAAATCTTCCGTCAGATTTCTAAGGCGGAATGATACAACTATTTGAACTCTCCGGAATGCGTGAGGCATCACGCCGCATTTGAAGGCGTTTTCAAATCAGCCAAGTTCCGATACCTGGGTAATCGTTTTGCATAGTTCATATTACCTATTTTGTTTCCATATCTAACCACTTGTTTAATTATAATCCCTGTAGAAAAACCACCCATTTGTAAATACAATTCTAGCTGGAGCACACTTCAGCTACGCATTCACCACTGCAAAAATTTTAGAGGAAATCGACAAGCCCAACGTGCATAAAGGTTTTTTTCATTTAAATCTTCCGTCACATTCTTACGGCGCAATGATACAACTATTTGAACTCTTCGGAATGCGTGTGGTATCACGCCGCATTTGAAGGCGTTTTCAAAACAGGCAAGTTCCGATTCCCGGATCATTGTTTTGCATAGTTCAGCAGCAAGTATTTATAGTGGTAGTAGCAAGTATTTTGTGCTGAAAGTAGAAAAAGAAAACATAATTATTCCGCAGAAATTGATGGAAAAATTCTTCATGGAAGCTTCAAAATGCGTCCGAATAGTCGTATAAATTCTAAAATTTCTCGGGGGATGCCCCTCGGAACCCCCCCCCNCCCCCCCCCCCCCCCTCCGTGCATGGGGCCCGGACCTTAAAACTGGTACCAGGGCCCGAGATGGGATGTGGCGGGCCTGACGATAATTCAACAGGTATGTCAGATGGAGGCGAAATTCAACAGGTTCAGAAAAAGTCATCACCGATGGCATTTCGGATGAAAGGAACTCAATATCTGGACTTTCAGACAAAATAATAAAATAACTATAAACTTCCCAGCAAAGAAAATTTTCGGAATATTATGTATTTCAGCTGCTGATCTATACTTAATAACGTTAAAGGGGGTATTATTAGCTGGTAAGAAGAAAATTCTAAGAATCTCGTCGGTCATGTTTTGTTGAGTTGGCGAGTCATTCAATCGCCTGAGCGCTCTACTGTAGAAGAACTCTAGTGGCAAAAAGAAAACAAGAAGTGCCGGCCTAGTGCCTATCGGCTGAGCACTTAAAATCGGATTCCGAAAAAAATTACAACAGAGAAATTGCGACGAAATCTCTCATTTTCTGAGAGTAAAAATATAGTAATTTCTAATTTTGACGTTTTACGGCGATACAAGAGACAGCACGTCTAATTATTCGAGCTAAGAGAGAAACCATACACGCAATTTGGCCTGGATAGTGGCGCGGCGCAGACAGCAATGATGACGCGGACTGAAATGAAGAGGAGATGCCCTCGGCGCAGCGCGCCTGCAAGACTGCATGAATACTTCACTCATTGCGTGAAGCATCGTGCGGTCAGCGGTCGGCGTGAGGCGCACATTAGCGCCTACAAGACTGCATGAATACTTCACGCATTGCGCCAAACACATTCGAATTTATCGCAAAGCACCCATGGCCGGCACTGTCTGCGCTTCCTGTATTCAATGACCTAATAAAGATGAATCCAGCCGAGTCGTCCCATGTATACTTCAGCAAAATGATATTTTTCGGGTTCGCATCCCAACATACCTACTTGTTTTCGCAGAAGATTCTAAAAAATTCCGATTAGAAACGTAAATACTGTTCAAAACGTTAGGGGAGAAGGAAGGAGGTGACCGGATATCGTTATTTATTCGTCCAACGACCAATTACGTACCAGAATATTTTAGATGGATGGAATATATTCATAAAATAAAAAGAAAATCGTTTGGATAGAAAAAAATAATAGTATTTTTATTTTAAAATATGAATACAATAACAATGAATATTTAAAGGAATTACTAAATTTAAACTGTTAAACAAGTCAAATGAAAATGATTGGAACATATTGTTTGAAGATTAAGCATTCAATACTCAAACATTAATGGGGCACATTAAAACTCGCCAACTTCTGCAAAAAATGTTTGTTCAGAGGTACCCACTAACAGTAGCGGAAAAATACATTTTAATGATTCATGTGGGGGGGGGGGGATTTGCATTTATGTCTGCAACATAAGGATAAGAGACTACCCACATACTCAGAGCGGAAATAAAATTTTGTTTTTGGGCGCCAGCATCCACCTTATGTTTAAATTATTCATACTGTGTTTTTAATAGTTTTAAAGATATCTCAGTGAAAAGGTACTAAGTATTTATAGTTTTAATTTAATAGAGGGTACAAAAATATTAAAGTACCTAAACCTAGAGTACCTAATATTAGAGTATGTTATCTAAGTAAATGCTGATCATCTAGCTAAATGCAGCATTTACAAAACTTCAAACTCAGTTTAATCTATAGCACCACTATTTTGAAGCCAAAGTTTAATTTTTTTTTTGCAGAAAATTGTTAATTGGAGAGGGTTCTACTCGCCACAATAACCACATCCTTGATCATTTGTCAACTTCTTGACGAGACATCTTTAATGCTGCAGATGCAGAATAATTGCAGAATCATTATGTATTTTAAAATATTACAATTTTGTTGAATAATGTCAGGGTAATGAATAAATTAAAAAAAAAGAAAGAAAAAAAGATAAATAAAAAATAAAAATATGATCAAATCCGTGAAAAGAGACCTTCTTTTTCGGAGAAACATTTTCATCAGGTTTTTCCAAATTTATAAAGGAAGAAGATTTGGATATTTTAGCAAAAATTCAACGCAGAGAGTTTAAATATTGAAAGACATATGAGTCCTGAAGTTCCAAGACAGTTAGAAAAAAGTTGAGGAAAACTTTCTCCCAGAAAATAAGGCCCTCTTTCACAGATCCTGTCACAAAACACACATCAGTCTAATACATATCAGTCACACACGACAGAGCATGTTTAAAATTTCAACCTGTAAAATCAAGATGCCTAAATTGGATTCTTAAAAATACCGTAGCAGGGTGTCTAGCAAAATTGGCGTCTTCTTCCTGACTTGCCCCCATTGCTAGACTGTCAGTGTTAATTTTGGAGGAAACAAGATGGCTCCTTTGATTTCATTAGAAACCTGCTCTCGGACTTGGAAAATATTTTTGAATCAAAGTGAAATTTGATGACAAGAAATTTTAAAAAAAATATTAGGGAGTTTATTTCTGCTTTCACTAAAGCACAGCTCACACATTTTGACTTCTTTATAAGCAGGGGATTTTATTGATATAAAAGTTGACTATTCCATAGTATTTGACAGTTCACACAGGCATTCATACCAACATTTTGGGGCATTTTAAGCTTTGGAAAGGATTGAAAGATCATCAATTTTTCCCCCGAAAGTCTTCAAAAACTGGTCTTCTGGTTGAATTGCAATTATCCTGCCTGTAAAGAATTTTCATTGGCCAACTTAAGGGAATTAATCAATTTAACTTTAACCAACATGAATGAATTGAAAGGAAAAGTGTCAAAGGACATAGCAGGTTGAAATAGAAAACTACCTCTGCAGTAAATAACAAAAGGAAGTTAAAGTTGGAACTTGTCTCATCAATTTTCCCCCTTTCAAAGTGCACCAAAAATCTAAAAAAGCAGAGCTTATTTGATAGATAACTTCAAACCTGAGCAAAGAATTTTTTGTTACTAGCAACATTTCTAGATACAGCAATTCAAAATTTTACAGCTTTCGGACAATGTTGTAAAATGGTAACCTCCATTGATGGTCTGGTCATTTCTTTTAGGAGGCTAAGATGAGGAGGTTTCTTTTTGAAATACTTCAAAATCATTTGGGAATTAACTTCTGAGAGATTCTGGCTTGGTATAATAAACTTCGTGATTAAATGGAAAGACTCACAACAAGTTGCCTCCAATTGAATGCAGAACTTAAACAGACTGCAAACTTAACAGAACTATTTTTTCTCCTTAATTCTTGCCTTTCTGACATTTTGTATAGACTAAGTCATCAAGGTGGAACTTTACCATGGTAGTGCAGAAAAGCGCCAACCTGTGGTGCTTCATTGACCTTTGTCGTGTTCTTTTTTCATGTTTCCAGCACAACTGGGCAATTTGCAGTGATATGGAAAAATATCTGTTGTAAAATTTTAAAACTTTATGGATTATTTTTCTTTTCTACACTATTTGATGTTTGGCGCAGTTTGAGGACGAGATAGAACGATAAGATAAGTTCAAAATAAACACCTTTAAGAGTGTAAAATGAAAAGGCACATAAAAAAATAATTTGATTATTTTTGACAAAAAAGTATAACCTCCATCAGCTCTTGATTGCCTCTTTTAATTTGACTGACAACAAATGGTAGACATTTTCTGACGAGATTTCTGGCAGCTTTCGAGTTTTCCACTTCAGATAGTCTTGAATTCTACTGATCTAGAAACAAAGATAAAAACATAGAGATTTACATAAAAAAAAGTTAACTATATTCTTGGTAAAAAGTAGGAACATTATGATTATAGAAAAAAAAATCCTTGCATGGAAAATTTTCGTTAATTTTTAAACTAAGTTCCTATTGAAATTTTTGGACTGATTTTTTAACCACTATTTGATAGATATATCATCCATCAAGGTACGATTTTTTCATATCAACATACCAACAGACGCTTACAAATGTTTCTAAACTTTGAGACAGAAAGTGAAAAGGGGTGAGCATAGGTAATAGTTGAATTCTATTCTAAAATTCGAGACAAATCAAATTCCAGTAAGTCAAGAGGAAAATTCTACAAAATGAGACAAGTCGAATATTTCAGTATTCATTGATTTGTTTATGTTCTTTTATGACAGAAAATAAACCACTTACAGCATATGTATTTGGCGAAGCAGCAGACCTGGTTTTTTTGATGAGGCCTATCAAATTCACACAAAGGGTGAGAACTGATTCATCCCTCAAGTCTGCTCGAACCACCATCCTGTGAAGTAATGCAGCTGCCAACTCATGCTAAAAAGTAAACAATAAAATAAAATTATACCCATACACACTGGTAAGTCTGTACATCTATTGCTTCGTATTGCTTCATACGAGAACTTCAATGTAATCTACTTCCTTCTGTATTAAAAAGAAAGCCATAATATGATTTCTTTTTGCTTTTTGAAATACAAACTAATCTTCCTTGTTTTTCACCTGTTCTTTGAATAAATTGTAGCACATTATATAGACCGGAAATTTGATTATGCTAGACATTTAAAGTGATTTAGGTATAAAAAAGGAGTGCAAAAGCCTTTAAATTTAGTTGCTATGCCTCTCTTATCTATGGTATGCAGATTATTTAAACCATTACTATCATTAATTATTTATACATAATGATCCAAGAGTCCCACAGTAGTAGAACCAGTCACCACCCCTGTAACTTTTGGACAAACTGAGAGAGAGACTTGAAATTTTGTGAGTGCTCCTGGGTCAGGAGATATGTCTTTTAGGATCCCTCTGAACTTTAGATGGACCTCTCTGAAAAAGGGCAAAATCTCTGAGGTTTAAAAAGGTAGTGTGGGATTTTTGGATCGCCCTGTATACATTCATAATTAAATTAGGTAAAACCAGGCATTAAAACTAACCTTCACGTTAAGCAAATAACTACATAGAGATTAGTTACATGCACATTTCTGTTCTCTACTCTTGATACAAGTTACCTTTATATGGTCCAAAAAAGTTACGACACAGAAAAATTCTTCCATCATAAAATACTGAAGTTAGTTTTGTGTTTGATTTGTTTGAGTGGACCCTAATTTTTTGTGAGCAAGAAGTGTGAATTACTGTGGAAAAAAACCGATATTTTATGAAGTTTCAATGCAGCAATTGTATTCTACTCAAAATTTTGATTGGAAAAAATATACCTCCTGTGTTGCTTAATTTTGTACCCTGTTTTGTGGTATATTGAACTATGTATATTAAACTATTGATGGTATATAAAAAATTAGGGTAAATTGTAGGAAGAATCAAAGATACTTACTTGAAGTCTGAGTTTATCAGGCTGTGCAAATGCTTTCAACACAGCTAAAATTTCCTCTAGAATGACCGAGCAAATCCAATTAACCTCTTTGATAAACTTGGAGTGAGACCCATAATATACGTCATTTGAATCAACTAAAAAAGAAGTAATGACAACATTCACTAGGTGGTTCAGCCGTAATACAGCTTACAATTTTATAGCGGAATTGTCGTGATCAGAAGTTCCAAAAACCATATCGATGTAATTCTCAATAAGAAGCCTGTTTCTTGAAAATTCAGCTATTCTGGCAGCCGTTTTGCTACAGGACCTATTTATCAATTTTGGTTGTGTGCTCTCAAAATGTTACATTTTATGATCAGAGGAATCAATAAATTTTTAAACTCCAACCTATGACTTGGAATGAAGAGTTGATGTTCACACACTCAGCATTTGATGATGACCTTCCTAGCTTCATTTCTTATCGAAAGGGTAAACCACTGTTTCATCTACTAAAATATATGAAAAATGAGGTTGAAGCAGCATAGAAAAAAAAACAGTGTCCAAGAACATGGATACCTACATAATAGTAATCTCTCTATTAGAGCTTAAGTATACCTAGTGTAATATTCAAAAACTAAAAGTATTTTTTTCACAGCATTTGGAGATTGTAATCGAGTGATCATTAGTCCATTGATAAATGAAGGTTAACTTTTGTAAACGAGCTGAGAGACACTTGGAAACAGGTCAATAAAAGGCTACATATAGATAACCACTGATTTACAGAATTCTAAATTTCTAAAATATAAAGTGAATGATTTACAAAGCTTACCGTTTTTAACGTGATAAGGATAAGATACTTGAACACATGTTGACAACATATCTAATGCATACAGGTACAAATACGATCGAGATAGCTCATTTTCCCATGGATACTTTCTCAACGTTTTGATCAATTCCCGAGTTAAGAATAAGACCTCTTGTTCAGCGTTATCCTGGGCAAGAGAAATAAGTAAAACCACTTTAAATAAGTCAAAATGAATTCATGGAAACAACAAAAAGCTTAATAAGGTGAGACATTTTTTTGATACTTTAGAGAGACAAAGTTGAAGACTTTTCTAGCTGAATATGGCTGCTATTTTGTTTGTATACAATTACTATTGTTGACCATGAAGCTTATTCACATCTATAGGGTTTTGGATCAAGAATTCATATGTCACATGATATACATAAGATTTCAAAAAGCAAAGTTTACGTTTTTTTTTTTTTTTTTAAATTTTTTTTTTAAATTTTTTTTTGTCCAATGATATAACAAATTCTAACAAACAATGGTGCAGGAAAAGGTTCCCTACGATAAATACTGATAAAATGGAGCATATTGGGAATAATAATTGGACTCCGTACTCTCCTCAGTACAGTAGATCTACAATCATATGTTGATGGACAAAAGTTGAAGCCAAATATTTCCATTACCTACTATGTTTTAGAATTTCCACTCCTATTTCATATTTTTTTGGAGAGAAATAAGCCAACTTTATACCTGGAAGTTCATGCAGAATTTTCAGATGACAGATATGAAATTGAGATAATTTTCAAGAAATTATGTGGACTAGTTACATAGTATGCTAAACGATCTAAAATACTTATGCTGGCTGACACATGGTTTTGTATTAATCCAATTTACAGTGTTTAAATGAGAAGAAAATGGAAATGAAGGTAGAATGTGAAAGAAAAATAGAATTGATACTCACAGGAACTACAAGAAGAGTAGATAGGAAATCACAAAAATAAGAGATTAAAAATGGCTCTGAACTTTTGGAAACGTTGTCAATTATAAACGAGGTTGGAAATTTTGGCACGAGAGATAAGGCAGCTTTCAGGCAGGCATCAGCTAAACCGGTAAAAAAATGAACAAGATTACTAAAAAAATTTTAAGATTTGGTTGAACTGGTAGAGAGAAAAAAAAACCAAAAAATATTTGAAACATCTAGGTATCACAGGAGCTAATCATTAACAGATGGAAAAATAATTGACCTCTAGACAAGGTATGAATTATAACACTAGGTAACATACTTTCTCTTCAAAATTTCACAAGGAATACAAAGCACACATCAGGAGTCCGAAAATCAAGGAGTTTCCCAAATGTATTGGTCAAATAGCAAAAATACAAATGATATCATGTGTATAATCTAACTTCCATTTTATCCGTGTTAAAGAAACTTATTAATATGTATCTTGTTCAGGAGTTGATCTCAAAACTTCCCATTGGGTGAATCACTTTCTACATAGAGTTTTAGAGAGAAGAGATGTGACGTTTTTTCCATTTCCAGATCTTTTCCGGTGACTCAGTTGACAAAAATCAACTAATTGATCAGCATAAACCAATTTAAATAAAATTAACTCATTACCATTGTACGAGTTTTATTCATTAAAGACATAAATCCAAAAAGTAATGGTAAATTATGATGCTTCGGCTGGATGGCTACTCACCTTGACCAAGACATTGATTCAGTAGGGCTACTTGACCAGTTAGCAAGTACAATTTGAGTTGGGTCAGAACTCCAAAGGCCTCGAGAGATATTGAGGGAATAGTGATGAAGCAGTACGCTATACACGCTTTCACAAAAGATGCTGTTCTAGAGGAATGATTGCCTTTCATAATGAGATGAGTTTCACATGCTAAACGGATTACACACTGAAATCAGAGGTAGAAAGTTAAAGGGATTCAACATAGAAAGCTCAAAAAGATAATTCAGCTTTTAAAATTAATGCTTTAATTTTAGGGAAGAATTACTTACATTAAACATTTAGCTATTAATTGCAGGGAAGAGAGAGAGTACTGAGGTTTAATTTATACAAAACTGGCTTACATTCTGTTAAGTAGTTTTTTTTTAAAAATATAATTCAGTCCCATTTGGGATTTTGATTTGGTTGTACGGGCATGAAAGGGTCAAATCATTACTTTTTCTAAAGGCTTAACTTCTAATTAACTTCAAATTTTTTTAAAAGCTTTAATAATGAATCAAATCTAGAACAGCCTTGTCATTTAAATTTACCTAGAATTTTTGAAAAATATGGCTGCCAAAAATAAATCTACGAGTATTACCTGGACTAAAGATGTTTGAACTAGGTCTAAATTTGTAAATGCTGCTCTGGCGTTGACGTAGAAACTAAGTTGTTCCTCAAACTTTTTGCCCATGTCCACCCTTTGGATGAAACATGATAATAAGTTACTAATCTGTCTTTTTTCATCTTCTATTGATAAAGCACTGAAAAAATGAAAACAAGAGAGAAAAAATAAATAAATGAATCATGAAAAAAAAAATACCAGAATACAGATAAGCATGTATGAGCTATTTTAAAGCCCCGTTCGACTTTCTCAAGTACTCAACTGGCACAGTTTGAGATACAACTAAAATACCACACTTAGTAACTACTGGTTACTTCAAAGCTTTGGTATAAGACCAAAAAAGTTGACGCATGGAAATTTCAATTTTAAATAATAATCATGCTTAGGAAGTTATAGGAAGCATAATATCAAATAAACCAAAATTTAACCGGCGTCAAATTTCTCGATATTGCGCGTGCAGTCTCTCATTGGGAGTAGAGCAGGAAATCTCGATCATTATTATTGCACAATTTTTGAACACAAGTAAAAAGGAGTTAAAAAAAAGGAATTTAAAGTGTACTTACTTGACAGAATCATGAAGAACTCTGCATATAAACATAAAAGAATTGATAACGACTAAGTCATTGAGAATTAAATTTTTCCTATGAGAGAATTCCACTAGAATCATTTTGCAAAGAGATACTTTAGTGCTATCTGACTTGAACAGATCTAGATAAGGTATTAAGTTGTTCTGAAAAATATCAGAGAAGAAGGAAGTTAAACAGTGCATACAAAAAAATAATTGACATGGACAAGATAATTGAGTTACTTTTAGTTCATACTGAGAGATATGCTATTGCCCTGCGCAAGGCCAAAACAATTTTAATTAATTACGATGAAGTCTTCATTTACATGATGCACATTTTGAAGATGGAAATGTCACATTCCTCCTGGAAGTTTTTGGAACTTATTTTTCCAAGTGTCAAAAAGCTGAAATCATTTCTGAAATACGTTCCTGGAGTCTTTACATAGATTATACAGTCACATTAAGGGAAACTGAAACAGCCATTGACGATAAGATATCTTTAAGACTTGAGATAGTTGCATATTTCTTACACAAGAGTTAATTAAAGGTTCTGAGCGTTAGTAACTTAATTGTTGAAATAAAATCTGCGATCAAAACAGACTATTAAGCTTCATATATTCGGAACTTTCTATTAATTACTTTACATGAATGTCATACTAAATATACAGTATACATACATAGATTTTAGTTAAAGAAAATAGAATAATTACCATAGAAAAGAGAGAATAAAAATCCGAGGCGTGCGTTAAAATTATCTTCAAAATCGATTGTAGATAGTCATAATTTTCTTTGCACTCTTTTTTACCCGTTAGATGGTCTACCACATCACCAAGGAAACTGTTGATTTCTTCACTCTACATGAAAAAAAAAAGGAAAAAAATCTAGATTAGAGAAGAGGCTTAAAAAACCAATTTAAAAATAAAAGAATAATAAATGTTATTAAAATATGGTAGAAATCACTGCAAAAAAATAATTCAGACAAAACTATTTGAATAATATTTTGTTGTACTGGGTCACAATAAATCAAGAGATCAAAGAGATTGAAAATTCACATTTTTCTGAGAAAAACTTTTAAGAAGAGGTAGAGATAAAAACGGAAGATTTACTTATGAGTAAAAAAAGTATGCCTCCTTTGTCCTGCAGAAGAAGGACTTTTAGAAAAAGCAGTAATATTTCGAAAGAATCTTGACCATAAAAAGTGAGAGTGAAAAATATTAATAGCTAGATAGTTTTTAAATAAATTGAAGAATAGTATATTTACCGCAAAATGTTTTGAAATGAACTCAGCCCAGACTTCAGCAACACAAAGATAATTCTGGGAGTCTTTGATCTGCGCCACTTTCAACCAAACATCACTCAATATCTCAGCACTGTTTTCCGGCTCACATTGATTTAAGCAAACCCCAAATTGTTTCAGCAATAGATACTGGGGGAATCCTGGATAAGGAATAATACAATTTTTACAATTAATGCAGACATACATTTCATACACCAGTCTTGATGAGACATTATTTGATCAAACTTTCCATCGTAGAAAAACAGGGTCGAATATAGAACATATGACTCACCCAAAAATGGATGAAAAATTGAAAATTTTATTTCATTTTAACCTTCTTTACAAGACTAACATGACTGGATTCAATTTCATGAAATTTTAGAGAGACAATTGAAATCAATGATTATTTTCCTTCAATTCTTTATTCAATCATAAAGAGAAAATGTGAATGAGGGGCAAAAGGAGGAATGACAATACAGTGCTATTAAATTAGAAATTTAGACAGAGAGTCCTAAAATACCTGCTCTTCTGGACAATCTGCGTTATCTAATTAAATTAATTTGTTTCTTAATACCTTTGTAAATTTAATTGAATTCAATTCATGTAGATCAATACAAAGCATATAGTTCTTGTAGCAGTTATAATATTTTTAAATAAAATTTCTTTTAATAAAGAAAAAAATAAATAAAATAAAGAAAAACCAAACAAATGTTGATAAAGAATTTAAAGCAAGCTAATAAAACCGAAGTATTATACTTGCATTATTCTCAATTCTTATCCAACAAATAGTCTCGGATTTTATCCTGTCAGCAAATTTCAAAGAGAGATCAAGACACAAAAGCATCATGAGGTGGAAATAGGATGCTATCTAACTTGTTAGAACTTTCTTTTTTCTAAACTGTTAGTTCAAGATAGAAACAAAACAAACCTTCATCACTGCAAGCAGATATTAACTCAAAAAATTGCAGTGCATGCTTTGCAATGTAGGAGGATCGGAATGTTGCTAACATAGCATTAATTAGAAGACCACTGTAAACAAAACATAAAGAACTATAGATAATGAAAAAAGTATGTTCTCAGTTAAATAAAACTGCATTAAAATTAACACCAGGGAGAAATAATGAGAGCAAAACCTACTGCGTTTCATTTGAAATGAGAGGTTAAGTAAATGTAAGGAAACTTTAAGGTGGGATAACATTTTGCACCACAGGAATGATTGGTACAACTCAGTAATGAATTGTAAAGTAAATTGAGAATATCTTTTTTCTCTTATAATTGAATGAATATAATTTAGTTAGAGAACCACTCGAAGACCTGATCCAAAACACATAGGTTTGTTAAATATAATTACTTTTCAGAAAACAATCATCTGATTAGATAACTGCAGGCTCATTTGACGAAACCAAGATACCATGGCACTCATTGCAAATACTTCACACCCCATATTTCACCATCCTATCAATAACTGAAAAAAATGAAATGTTCTATTTTCATTTTAGTTTCTTTATATTCACTTTGGGACTTGAGAAAGGCTGGGGTGCAGAAAGTTCCAAGTCTTCCCCAGGATCAATAAACCCTCTCTCATTTTTGACAAAAAAGCTTGATCGCTTCCCCTGAAAATAAAAAAATAAGTAATATAAAACCCGACTTTTCCAGCGCAAAAACGTTGTCTTCCGCACAGGATTTCACGTTTTCTCCTGTTCTTGCAGGAGTTCCTAAATTTCATACGAATGGTGCACAATTAAGCTGGTTGCGTTGTCAAGATGTTTTAACACCCAAGGAGTTTTAGATGCCAGAATATCTCTTTTTTGTAATTCATATCTTTTGGAGAGGATAAATTTTAGACAAATAATTAGACTGAGCTTCCTCCATGAACTCATAAGTTTTTAGGTCATGAAATACTGAACTGTTTATGTCTTGAGTGGGTTTAAAGAAAAGATTAAAGAGTTAAGTGGACCTACTTGTTGATTTTGACTTTGCACTGAGCTAAAACTTCGTCCAAAATTTTATCAGAGGCATTGAACACATAGCCCTGGAACATCCAGTCAACTGCAGGAGGAAATAGCATCAAATATTCTGGGACAGGAACCCGTTGATGAGCTAAGTCCAAACGAACAATTTTGTTGAATAGCTAAAACATTTTAAACACAGTTTGGAACCATAGTGCTTCAAGAGACAAACAAACAATTGTTTGAAGACTGATCAAGGATGAAAAAAAATGATAATAGTAATTAAAAGGCTACCAGAAGTATACAGGATTTGGACAGCTATGACATGAAGCGATTGATGAGAAAGAAATATTTGCTAATTCTGGGCTTAAGGCTTCAGATTACCAGATTGGGCGGTGAAATAAGTATATTTTAAGTGGGTTTAAAAGGGGGAAAATGCTGATTCTTCGGCTTTATCTGTCAACAATGACGGGGTTTAATTGAGAACTGGAAAGACTGAGCTCAATGTTTTAGCATTTCTACAGAATCTGGGTTTTTTGTTTTCAATTCATGATCCTTGTTTGGGATGGACAAATTAAAATTCTTAAATTATTAAATTAAATAAAATTATACTTTTTTAACAATTTTTGAGAGTCCTAAAGATTGACCAAGAAAGTCTAAACCTAGACTGAAAGATATTAATTTTGAATAAGTCTTGCAGAAATTAAAAAAAAAAAAAAAAACTACTTGTTAGAAGAATGGGAAAAAAGTGAATAAATTCATACCTGATTGTAAGATGCGATGAAGTCGCAGATATTTTCTTTTAAGAAATTTTGACTGGCACAATTTAAAGATGATGCTACGCGGCATAGATAACATCTAGTGTAGGCAGCAACTAGGGGATCTCCAATTCCTCGCACCATTCTACAGAGACGCAGCAGTGCAGGGCCTTGCTCGCTAAAAACATAACATTTGGTCACCTGTGATTTTATTGTTTGACAACAAAATATACATTCTAAACTTAATTGACAGCAAATGAAATATTAGACTAAGGCTTCTAGGGGTTCTTACGATGATATATTCACTGGCCCCCTTGCATACTCTCAAGAGGAATGGATTGACTGGTCTTTGCAAGATTGCCAGGGATCTTGATGGGAAAACTCGTGCAATGTGGTGAGTGTGGGAGTTTTGAGTCAGGGTCTGAGCCTATCTGTTTGTTGTTGAGCACCAAGCATGCTGTGCGCCTCGTACCTATCACATAGGCAAGGTAACAGTGATAGTAGTCATCGTGAATGCATTTCTCGCTGCATATGAAAGAATTTAGTATGGAAGTCTTCGTATTAAAATTGTCAATGATACAGAGAGGGGTGTGGAAAATCCACCTGAAAAAACTGTTATCTACAGACTTAAATACACATCATTCACAACAAGGTCGTAAGACAATGAATAGTTAGGAATACACTTTTGAACATCAGGAAAGACCTTTTCACTAGAGGACATTCTGAAGAATGTTTCAGTAAGGGAGCACATAGCACTTACTTTTGCTTGATGAAACTGTATGACTTTAATAGGGCAGCTTCAACGTAAAGGCGAGGTACGAGTTCTCGTATGGAGGCTATTTTGTAAAACCAATTGCGACATGTTTCTTTAGCAGACTCTGGTACCATGTCTGGTGTGAACTTTGGGGGTAAAGGCTTTCCAAAGTCTCTGCCTGGCCTGAAAAATTTCAGACGTACTGTGTGTTAAACATTGTACTTACACTTGATCATCGATGAGAAAAATGGTCTAATTGCAAAAACTGATCAAAATATTTCGATATTATTCAATAGATGATGTATGAAATCTTTGAGCATCAAAAGATACGGTTTTAAAATTTTTATTTCATACTTGCTTCTTTTTTTTTCATCTTTTTATTCCATTTTACTTGGAAGAAGTCCATCAAGGGCTAATTTAAACTACCCTTGGTATCTGAATCTGACACCTCAAATATTAGCAAATTAAAAGTGAATAATTAATGTTTGGATAGTATTCTTCTAGTATTCTAGTTATGGATATATAAGCCTGGGTCTGCAACAACACGGTTTTATAGTACTTGTTTTTTGCAATGAGAGATTTTCAATTTCTGGCTCATTGTCAAACTGAAGTGATGTTTTGTTGTAAAAATGTTCACTTAACATGTTCAGCTTGGTCTCATTTTACACCGTTGATGTACTCAAGATAAAAAAGGCTCGATATACACCAATAAATGAGAAGCACTGGAGCTCCAAAAAGTTGAGTTAAAAATTGATTAGAAAAATCAAGGATACGAGCTTCAAACATTTTTTTCTTTCTTCTTTTAAACATTGTAAGAAATTAGAAGTACATATTGATACCTTTTTAAAAAAAAAATTGCGAGCGAATTGTATGTTCCGACGAATTGTTTTGATGATATTGAGATTCAGGTTGCTCATGTTTTATTTTCTTGACCAATAGCTTTGAGTAACTTTTTTTTATGAATTTCCACTTGTTTTGAAAAAATCAAACGAAATTGTAGGAAACATAATGATTAGTTTCCTTAAGGAAAATGAAACATCATCGGAGATTTGTGAAAATCGAGATGGAGTCTTGCATTTTTTGTGAACAGTCATCAATATGACTCTTGTGTTAACAATTCATGCTAACGCAGTGGGTGGAAAGTAACATACTTACACAATACATTTTGATTTTGAGTGTAATCTTTCATACACAAGCTCTCCAAATGTGTCTAAAATATCGGATATTAGCACAAATTTACTTGGATAGAATTGTATTACTGATGTATCCACAAGAAGTTTCAGGCACTGAAATCAAAGAAGAAACATCAAAGGACTGTACGAATTTAGTTTTTAAAGTGAGGAACAAAATGAAGCATAGGAAAAACATTAAAAAATTATTTCTTAGTGCAAGGTCTCACACTTCTCTGGACTACTACCTATCATCAAGATATTAGTCTTATTATTTTAGAGTGCAAAGTACAAAACCATATATGTACCTTTATTGCAGTGTCTCAAAATTTTGACTCCAATTTTATTTTATTTGGAAGAGAAATAAGCCAACGTCATACCTTGAAAATTATACAGAATATTCTGCTCTAACAGATAAGAAAAATCAAGGAAGTTTCAAGGAATTACATTGACTAGATTGTTAAGGAAAAATAATGTATGACAGGAAGTCTGCAATGTTGCCAAAATATGCAGATCTGCACTTTGGTCATCGATGTGATGCATAATTTGAAGTGTACATGCTGGATACTCCTTCACATCACGGTTGTTGAATACATATATCTGCCAGAGATGGAGATAATATGTTTTAACAGGGAAACATAGAAAAATAAAAATTTCCTCATCGAGGGACATTACAGGGTGATCCAAGTCTCGCACTGCCCCTAAAACCCCAATGGTTCTTGACCCCATTTAGGGTAATCGAATTTAGGGGGCTCCCAAAAATGGTTTCTTTTAAACTGGAAGCAGTCACAAAATTCAAGTTCCTATTTCATTTTTTTCAAAAGTTACAGAGATGATGTCTCGTGCTGGTAGTGTGTGACTCTCGGATCACTTTGTATAAGAAACTTTCTTTGGAATCACAAATTTGACTTTCTAGGAGAGAACTTTTTTGTGGTGAATCTGAAGTAAAAAGTTTTGTGAAATGATTTAAGCTTAAATGTGACACTGTTGCACCATTTAAAAAGTGACAAACCTGAAAATCAACTTTTAAAGTGGAACTGAACCGTGAAATCATTGCACGAGTCTGTCCTTGAAGCTCTAGAACACAGATAAGGCAGCATTTCTCCTCAAGCAGCTCTCATTATTGAGCGAGACTCACAGACACCCCATTCATAATCTTCTACAATGTCAAAGAGCACTAGTTACAGTCTGAGGAAAAGGAATAAGTTTACCTGTATTATGATTTTTAAGGCTGTTACTTTTTGGTCTTGCTGCCATGCAGTTAGCAGATCTTCATGCATGAGTTCAATGCGAGCCATGTACTCTTTTTGCGTTAGGTCTGCTTCTCTGTATTCAGAGTCCTCTTCAAAATCGTCCAATTGCTCTAGCCTGTTCTTGATCTGCGAGGTTGGTGTCTTGACTGTCACTTTAATGCCAAAAAACAGATTAACTTTAATGATGTCTACTTGATGATCAGGTAGAGATGAATATGTGCAGTGAATTATAATGTGCGATTTCTGTCACAAACGTCTAAAACAACTTATATTGTGAAATTTCCCTTACAGAGGAGAGATAATCAAAAGCAACACCAAGAATTTTGACACACAGTTGACATAAAAATTCCGACTATTTAAAAATACTGACAAAATCACTTTTTCAAACACATTAGTTTTTGAAAATTTGGAAGTTTACATCAGTTGCAGGCATTTGACAAAATGCCTGCAACTGGGCAAACAGGCAACAGGCAAACAGGCAACTAGGCAAACAGGCAAATACTCTCACTCAGAGGTAAATTCTGATTCTTTTCCTGATTTCGGACAAAATAATTACTTTTATATGCAGATAAGCTAAATTACTCTTAAAAATGTGCAGCATTTTATGGTTGTTGTGATGATTTCTAGTCTTTCAATAAATATTTATCTCAAAGGATGCAGCATTTTTGAGGAAAGGGTTTTCACAACTTAGACAGTAAAACATGTATTTAAAACATTTTAAAAAGGAGAATACCTATTACATTATGGTACTTAAATTATCGCTGACAATAGAACAATCAGTGAAAAGATTTCTGTCTACTTAAAAGTTCTGTGACACATCCAGCCCTGATTTAGAAAAGAGTAAAAGTTGCACTTGTGAAGCAACTGCATGAACTGTTCATTTGGTGATGCTGATTACATATTTTTGCATTCTAAAAATGTTTTCTAAATTTTTCGATTTGAATTCAAACCGAGCACAGAGAGAAATGAGTGAGTTGCAAACCTAAGGAGTCATTTGAATAATAATTTACACTGAGAAACTCCTCAGTACGGGATTTTGATTGATTTAATTTTTAAGATAGTCTCTTACCCTTCTCTCCACCAAGCAGAAATGTCACCATTGTTAATTTTTCTGATGTTGTGAATCTCCTCAGAATTTCTCGTCGCCGCACAGACCATGGTTCCATTCCCTCCACCTCTCCTGGTTCATTGCTGTCTTCATCTAATTCATCAACGCACTGTAACAAATACACTCTTAATCCTCATTCTCGTAAAGTATGATAAAAAAGGCATACAGACAGAAGCACATTGAAAATGTTTGCCTAGTATTCCTAAAAATGTTTCAGGGCTGCTGTATGAGGGTGCTCCATCATGCTGTATGTGAGTCTTGGGGTGCGATTTAACTCTGCTACACAACAGTTGGCAAGAGAGTAGAATTTACCTGATCTTGCGAATTTAGGATGATGGCTAATGAGGCAAAATCTTGGATCATGGGGCAACTTTAGAAATTCTGGCTTTTTTGCTCAATACCTTCAAAAATTGGGGTCAACTCGAAATTTAAAGATGTAATCGAGCATTTTACCCTAAAATTAGACTTTTGGCTTTGAGACAAAAACGCTGGATTGCAGCATAGGTCAGCATATTGGAACTTTCTGACACCCTTGACTTACTGCCAAGGTAACAAGCCTTGCTTATTCCTTATAATTTGCGCAGAGAAACACGGCATATCATTTGCTTGATTTGTATTTAATTTTCAGACAGTGAATGTTATAAGGAATTATTTGTATGAATAAATTATCTGCATTATCTGCAATATCTGCTTACTTCATCAGCTGCTATTTTCGAGAGAGGGTCATAGGCTAATTTTGCAAAAGAACTAAGAGGGTCTGAACCATCCAATGACACGCCAAGTGGTTCGACAATTGTAGTAGAGTCAGAGACATTATTTGTGACTTTTGCAGATGGCGTATGAGATAACTTGCGTTCCTGGAAATAAAATTGCATGATTATTAATGATGATGGAGGAAAGAAGTCTGAGGAAACATGTTTGAAAGAATAATTAGGAAAAGGCATGGGAGTTTTGACAAAATATGCGTGGCATTCACTCTTACCTGGATTCCCTTGTTTATTGCTATCCTAAAAAAAAATTATTGAGCAATATAGTATGTACCCCTAATAATTACAAAAACACAAGATATTTTGCCATTCTTAAGATTACAGGTTCTAAATTTCTCCTGTAGCTTTCCCAATGAAATGATGGTCCATTTTAGACTTCTAAAGTTTTGGAAGCACTTTTCCAGGCAATATTAAGATGTTTTGTGCATTTCATTCAAATTTCATACTGTGAAAATAACTGCTTAAAAGCTAATCTCTCTGCTCTGAACTGATTTGTTCTGCACACTATTCATGATAAAAAATTTCCAAGTTTACCTGTACCTAGCTAATTCATTAGTAATTACATTTTATGTTAGATTTATGTTTCTTTACTTAGTGTTCATTTTCTGTTTTTGTTGTGAAGAATGATAGTAATTTAACCTCTCATTAGAAAGTTACATCAGGTCTTTTACAAATATTTGAAAGAGAGAAGTGTCCTCCTTCAACCTTGTAGAGCCGATTTCAGATTAGAAACTTTTCCTCTTCGGCTTTATGTGCAGGATATGGAATGCAAAGTCTATTTCCAATCCTGCGCTTACAGTGAAAAAGGAAAAGTAATCTGAAACAGGCTCCACCCTGCTTTTACAGTGGCTACTTAGAAAATTTTTTCAGTAAAAAGAGATGATTGACCACCTACAATCCCACAGCTCTCTATAGGAGAAATTAGACTCAATACTAAACATTGAAACCAGTGCTTGGGTGGGAATAAAAAAAAATAACAGCGACTGAGACAGGAGCAAAAAATACGTACAATAATGGCAGATTTCAATGGGTGATCAGAGGTGGTCTGGGAGGGCAAAGAGTGCTTATCCTTGTAGACATCATGGATGCGGCAAACCCTGAAATCATTTAATTAGATTACTAACGTGATTATACAAAAGAAACTTGCTTGAAATCTTGAGGGGTGATGGAGTCGGGAAAAACGAGACCTTTCAAAGGTGAAAATTCAAAATTTTCAATGTTTCAAAACGAGTGGCATGAGTTAAAATTATTTGTTTCTTTTTTTTTACGTTAGTTGCTTCCTAATATCTTCCTCGGGAGAATTGGGTTAAACTTAACCGAAGGCTAAATTTCTGGAATTCTCCCGTGTTCTGCGCATAAAAATATGCAGGATTGACCCTTCCTTTGCTTGAGCAAATATCGATGAAAAACTGACTCACTACTTCATGATTGAGTTCTTCATACTTGACAGTCTATTATACCCACTTTTGAGTTTCAAATAATTGTGTTCCTGCCTCAAGGAATATTTAATGAAAAGCCAATGACTATATTTTCTTGAAATTTGTTACAAATGAAGTCCCGACCCTTGATCAAAGCTTACTGTCACGTTGTTGTGAAAATTCTTCCGATTTAGTGTGCGACAATCTGAAGTCTTAAAAGAACGGCATAACAAACATCCAAACAATCTGAAAAATGTTTCTGGTGAGTTTTTAATTGCCGATTAAGTGTATAGATCAACCTTTGAGGCTTTATCGAAAAAACGTCTGTGACTGTTGGATATATTTCTTTGCATATTGTACCGATGAGGCAAATGTTCTGCACAGATATTCATTTTAAATTTTAGTGAGTATCCAAAAAATTAACATGAATGCTAACGGAAAAACATATCAAAACGGATTGATCCAATTAATGGGTGTTGGGTCTTACCACTTGTAGGAGGGTCCACTCTGTTTTGAGGACATTCTTGACTTCCCAGAGCCACGATCATGAAATTCCTATAAATTTACAACACATACATAATCATAGAGTGAGAAGGCAGAGAACTGGAAAATTAGAAACACTAAAAAATTATAAAATAGTGTGAAACCGAATGATTATCTAACACATCCATGCATGGGTTCCCAAATTTTTGAGGTTAGATTGTTTACAGTAAACAAACCGGTGACATCTGCCAGTCGACGAATCACAAAACTTTGCGTGGTGATAACATTTTGTGATAAGTGGAAAATGAGAATTTGACGTGTCGCGAAAGTGCCCGGCTCATTTCCTTTTTAGCGTTGATCAGGTTCTTAGGTCTCCATAAAACTGAAAATGAAGTCTTCAGCAGTGTTTTTATTGGTTTTATCATTAGTTCTACTTCTTGGAGATGCCTATGGCAAAGGCATCACACAATTGGACACCCTTACTTTTGATAAGGTGAGCCATCTCTCAAAATTGATTCTTTTACAATCTTACCCCATGTATGTGTGCTTTCATTTATCTTGCAAGAAGTTTGTTGAATATTAAATTTGTTACCAAAATATTGGGACAGTAAGACAAACTTTCTACGACTTCAATTGTTGGTCAATATAGGGAAGTGTCACTTCGGCAGGAGAAGTGCATACCTACTTACCCAAGTAATCTCCTCCTTCGACTGATTTTTGAATATGTCTCAGGCCAGACAATATCTATAATTCACATCACTGACTCAATTTCTTCTATGCAAGAACTTCTCTCAAGGGACAACCTGACTAAAATGAAGCAAGAGAAGGTATAGGTATTTTCTGTTGTCTATCTTCCCGTTAGATTCTTTTGCAATTTATCTATCTGCATCATTGATTTATTTTCAGCTTTTATCCAAGTTCAAAGTAACGATTGTGAAGTTTAATGCCGCTTATCCGTATGGACACAAACAAGAAGTGTACACAAAGTTTGCAGAATCTACTTACACCGTTAATGATTTGCTGGTCGCAGAAGTAGCTGTGAAGGATTATGGTGACAAAGAAAATGAGGAACTCATCAAGAGGTTTGTATTTTCATTCATATTAATGGTCATTAACTGCTGTTTTAAGGCAACATTTTTGTAATGATTGATACGTGGTTAGCTTCAGCCAGTAAGTAATGTCTTCCCTTGTCGATAAAGAATGATGAATGCAGCTGAGGGCTCAAGCAACCCTAATTCTTCTGTAAAATTAAGGATTGAAAATGACCATGTAAGCTTGAATTATTTACTAAAGTAATTTTTTTCAATTTTCTGCTGTATAAATAATGTTCTTAATTTATATTTATCATGAGTCAAACAATTGTAACAATCATGTACCTAGATGGTCAGTAAATATTATTATTTATGTAGCATTCCTTTTTCCTTACTATTGCCAAGCTTTACTTCTAATGATCCGCTAAAAGATAGTTCTTCTTTTAGAGCTCTTATTTTTAGTCAATATTTTTCACGAATGTTATTTTTAACCCGAAGTTCACTCAATACTTGATTTTTTCCATAATTTGTCGTTTTATTGTTGCCAGGTTTAACATCAAAACTGAAGATTTTCCTGTGGTCAAGTTGTTCATTGATGGCACTCCAGAACCGTACACATTTGTTGCCAAGGAGGACTCTGAGTTCACGTATCAAGCTCTATACGATTTCATTAAGAGTAAAAAGACAGGTTTGTACCTTGGCTGTGCTGGCTGCCTAGAAAAGTTTGACAAACTGGTAGAGGAATTCATGCTTTCATCAGATGCCAAAGAGCGCAAAAAGAAACTGCGCGTAGCCGAAGATCTCTGGGATAAGATCTCAAGTTTAACCGAAGCAAAGTCCGCTGAAATATATGTTAAAAGCATGCGCAAAGTCATTGAAAAGGGAGAAGATTTTGTGCCAAAAGAGGTTGAGAGAGTCGAGAAATTGTTGAAAGCTAAAATGACTAAAGAAAAACAGGATGAGCTACAAAAAAGAATCAACATTTTACAGTCATTCAAAGTTGTTCATGATGAACTGTAAGGTTGATAGGTGAAAACTGATTTATTACGCTGACACATCTGGCAAAATGTACCTAATAGCTGCAGCTAATATTTAAGTGGTCTCTTAGATGTTCGAGAGTGATTTCCACTTGCACTTAGAATTTATTTTACCTGTGATACTGTCCTGAAATCTGATTCTGTTCCCAAAATCAGATTTAGGACTTTGATAACATTGTTTTATCAAATTTTCGTAAGTCTTCTCTTTTTTGTATTGCAAATACTTTCCTCCAAGTATTTACGTTGGGTTCTAACTTTCCTATGTAAGTGTTATCTTCTCAAGGATTATCTTCAGTCTAATTAGTGTGATTTTGTTCATTTTTCTTTAAATATAAAATTACCATTAATTTTTAATTATCTTAATTGATGATTCTCAATTTTGGTTGGCTCAGTTTTGTCCAAGGACAAACTGTGCATCACCCAGATGATACATGAGCTGCCCATTTCATTCATGAACGTTCTAACTTTTTATCAATTTTAAGAGAAAGTGATCTTTAAGTAAGAAATGTTTTTAAATAAATGTATGCATTTTTTTAAAATCAGATTTAGCAATTAGACAATGGCTAGATCACAAAATCTAGATCATTTGATGATTGAGTAAGTATTGCCGTAGAGTCTCATAACAATGTTATGTGATCAATAAGTGCAATCAAAATAAGTTTATAAACTTATTTTTACAGAACATATCAAAGAAAATTTAAGTAATTAAGAAAAGCAAAATAGTTTGAAAGCTCTCCTGCAATTTCCAATTGCATGCTTATGAAGGAGAGCCAGCAATATGTTTAACATTTTACAGTAGCTCTTGTTAGTTTTCAGACATTAGGCTAAACTTCTAATCATTTAATTACAAGTATTTCTAATATAGCGTACTCCTCTTTCATTTTGTAAAAGTTTCTAGAACCCAAAGGTATCATATTCAAAGCTTGCAAGGGCAAGTTTTGGCTTTGATATACTCAATCCTGAGATTTTCCTTTCTCTCAACTCCAGCAAATGGCTCAAAATTAAATTGGTAATATTCATCAAATATTTGAGTACAGCTCCGAAGTGACATTCTCAACCGTCTATCAAATCAATTTTTCTATGAAAATGAGCAAAAAGTTACCTGAAAACTATTCATTAGACTCCTCTATTATTTTATTTTATTTTAACAGTTAAACTGTGTCTGCCATAGCTCGTAAGATGAACAAACTTCTCGTAATTTGCTATAGTTATGGACTCTCCCTTTGAAATTTAAAATTCAATTAAGTAAGGAGTTGCTCGTTTTCTTCTCTCAAGGTTGTTTTATCAGATCCAGTATTCATTTTTTCAAATATATCCCACCATTTCGATGAATATTTCAGGTTCTAAATTTTAGGAGAGAGTAGAAGTATTATTTTCCTTTCAATAAACGTGCCTCTCTGCAACAATTTTAAGATACTCCCATCATGGATATAGCTATAAAGGAGGAAGGCTTGGTCCCCTAGAATTTGAAAGAGCATCATTCGGTTCCTTCTCGAATATTTTGACTTGGAATACAACCTCAATTTTGTTGCTATGCAATGCAAAATTGGATGGAAAGAAGAAGACAATGTAATCAAATACTTAAAGAAATTCACCAAATGTTTATGAAAGTTTGTATTTACGTACAAAATGCATCTAAAATGCAGTCAATTTGTCAAAAGTTTCTTGTGGAGGCCCCCTGCACCCCCCTTTGTACTGTGAGAGGAGGTATTCTTTATCTGGTTGGTAATACTAATAATTTTCCCAGTGGAGCCAAGCCAGGAAAATGATGTAGCTATGTCCATGACTCACACTGTTTAACCAAAAAAATCATCCTCAAGTTAGTTAGTACTTACTTAAGTGTTATACTTAAAATCATGTGTTATGTATACAGTGCAATAATGCAGTAAATTACCTAGCTCGATTTATCAAAAAAAAATACTATTTGTAAGAACAAAAATCTGAATCTTGTCAAGGGCCTGTCTGTCACACAAATTGGCGCAAGGTATATAAATGGTCAATGTTTTAATCCTTCTGCACTGAATATGTCTGTAAGTATATTTGTGGGGCACCACTAGACTGTCTATCTTAAAGTGAAACTTTCTTCTTAAAAGTTTTTCTTCTAAGCCCACCAAACTGTGCAGTTGAATGATCTCATCGGAGAAATTTTTAAATTGATCCTCAGTATCTACCTTCCCTCACTGAAAAATCAAAATGTTTTAATTTCTCTGTACTTCCGTTGCAACTGATAAGAAATGTGTCAATTCCAGCGAAGTCAAATCTCTATTTGATTGGCTTTCTTTTCCTGCTGGTCTTTCTAAGTTCTTCCTGTACGCACAATTTTTCCAAGCACTTTGTGATGAATCTATGTATAAGTACTAAGCCAAATTCATTTTTTTAAGAGCCATGCTTATCGCTACATTTTCACTGTTGCCTGTTTAAATTTGGCAAGACTGGGACCTTTTGACTATAGATTTAGGGAAAGGGCAAGCGATTTTATGTAACTATGGAAGGTTGTTAAATGGTGTTGTTTTGTGTGTTTATGTCTTTATATTTTAAATAAAATTTTTGTGCACTGATTTAATCCAGTGTTACAATTATTCTCAACTGTCTATAACTAGCTATACCCAATGAAGAACGCTATTAATGGAAAAGTAATATTTAAAGAAAAACTGTCTTTAACTTAAACCTTGTCAAAACATCTATTTCTGTGGGATGAATAGTGGGAAAATGGCATGACTATTAAGAGAGCATTTTTCTATTCAATATGTAAGCGCATTCCTCGAAGTTAAGTACGCATGACCTTTCCCACTAAAATTTAGTAACTTCATTACTGAAAAATCTTATTTCGTAGTAGAGCCCGAATGGAAAGAGAGCATAGAATGAACAGATTGATGGTGAAAGTCGGTACAAGAATACATACATATCTTGATTGATGCACTTCATAATTCCTTCCCCTCCATTTTTTTTTTTTTTTCATAGAATGCAACTGGAATTTTTTTTTTTTAATTCCTCTGAGTAAATTCTCGAAAAGGTTAAGAAATATCACATGGGATTCTCTGAAATAATGATAATTAGTCATCTTTTCAAAATGAAAGTTTGAAAGAGAAACTATGTTTTGTTAACAGAGATATGGGGTGTTGCCATTTCACCACCAATTTACTTTCAAACTACAGTAGACCCTGGTAAAAATTGGCGATAGGAGCTGCGTTTCAAAATACCATAGGAGTTCTTATAGCCGACTAAAGTAGGCTATTGAAAATCTTATAGCTGGCTGTAGAAAGGGGAGCAAATCATATAGCCGGGCTATACGAAGCTATAAAAAAATATACAGTTGGGCTATAGTTCCTGTCGCCGGGCTTTACACTTTATCGCCATTGGCTATAAAAGGCTATAAGAAATTGTGTAGAAATTCGTGTGCTTTGGAAATCATTAAGTTTGATAACGGAACTACCTTAATATTTACAAAACACACATTACTTAAAACATATTTCTTTTTTCATCAATTAAAATGAGAATAGTCCATACAGAGTGTGCAAACATTTCAAAATCATGAGTTGAAAAACGCTGACTCCGCGAGATTATATGTTAGAGCCTAACACGAAGCGGAGCGGCGACGCACTGGCGCCTACAAACTTAACAGGGATACTTCACGCATTGCGCAATGCGTGAAGTATCCCAGTTAGGTTTGTAGGCGCCAATGCGCGTTTCGCACTCTCTGCCCGCCCGCCGCGCCGCGCCGCAGCGTGCCACGGCGTCTGAAGCAACTATTTCACACCAGAATCGCACAGTATCATAAGAAATTGAAGGCGCTCCAACATATTAAGAATGACAGGCATCCTTCAAAAGCACGGAGCTTTCCTCATAAAATAAATCAAGATACTACGGCACAAAAAGAGAGCTGTAGTCCAAAAACTAACTAAGTCCTGGTATCCGTATTTAGTAAAGTTTAGTATAAACTTTATCGTCTGGCTGTTACTTAATCGCCATCGGCTATAAAAGGCTATAAGAAATTGTACAGCCGGCTACAGAAGCTATTGGAAATCTTACAGCCGACTTTTGGTCTATGGTATTTTGGAACACAGATTCTACTGCCAATTTTTACCAGGGGAGTCTCGATTATCCGCGATTCGCACTATCCGCGGTTTTTTTCGGTGGCTGTGGCCTAAAAGCGCCGCAATTTTATGGCACCAACTTCCGTGAAAAATTCCTCCCAGAAATTATGTTTGCCAAAATGAATTCTCCAAAGTAAAATTTATTCATTTTTAACTAATAGGTAATCGTGTTCCTTCCTAATATTAAATGGATTCTTTCAACATACAGCTTTTCCAATCCCTTTTCTTGGCCAAACAGCTTAGTTTTGGATTATCTGCGGTAGTGCCAGTCCCGAGCTTAGCGGTTAATCGAGACTCCACTGAAATTCTCTGAGGGTCACTTTAAACATTGTAACCGGTGCAGGAGCTCAGATTCTAAGATTTATCGCCTGTATCCACCAATATAATAGCTCCGTTTTCCATATGTCTCCTTTGTCTATAGTTTTGTCTATTTCAGGACAAAGTAGATTTTAATATTTTTGGTTGATGGAAAAAAGGAGAGGAAAGAGAGGGGGAACAAGGAACTCCCCATTGTTTGTGCATTTAGGTATAATGACGGGAAAGAGAAAATTTAAGAAAGTTATCCAGGTAAATATTTACTGCCGTATATATATAAATCAGAAAATTAGTCTTTAAAAAATGGAGTCATACATAAGTATACGGTAGAATATAATCTGACGTGCATGAGCAGGCACCCATGCATTGGAAACATTATACCACCGCAGTATCTACTTAGGTGCCATCCCTCTTGTGGACGTAGGTAGTAATAAAGTGAACAATAAATACATTTTTTTTTTTTATTATCAAAACGTGTTTCGGCTTGAAGATGAGATTGAGTGCCCCAAGAAAATTGGAACATGGTATACTTAAATCACAATGGTTTGAATACAAAAGCTAGGATCACGATCAAAACAAAGAAAACTAGGAGTTCGTCAATTGTTTCGAAACCATCAAGGATATTTTTCCAGGCAGTCCGGCGAGGAACGTTTTCTTGTTGAAGAATCCAAAACCTATGTAAACGAAAGACCTTAAATTAGCCAGACAAAGATGAGAAGGCTGATAGTAAATAAAGTTAGGTAAGTTTAGAGTATGTACATGCAATTAGGTACTTCTACCTTCCCAAGGATGTACGTACTCATCCAGGGGAGCTACGCGACCTGAAAATTTCCCCATCGTCATTCGTCGTGATTTCCAGGAATCTTTTTGCCCTTAGAGCCCATGAGAAGTTTTTGATCGTAGGCCAACCCCCTCCCCCCCTCCCGATAATGATTTTCTGGCTACGCCACTGACTGAGGGCATTAAATAACTTTTTCATTTAATTTCTTCCTAAACTCACATTATAGCATCCTATGCATAAATGAAATTGGCTGTTCAATAAAATTCAAGTAAGCGTAGATAAAGCTTTTAATGGTCCCTCATTTTTAAGGATTGAGGATCACTCTCTTCCCCCTCCCCCTCCCTCCTCTGGTATTTCGGACAAACAGCAGTACGCTCGTACATCGACACGCTCGCGCTAAGTAATTACTTAGTCATTATGAAGTGAATACCTATCTAAAGTCTAAGACTTTCAATGTTTCTCAGAGCTTTTTTTTGGTGGCCAAAACGGTTGATCTTCAGCTACAAAATGTTTCGATCGATTTTTTTAAGCAGGTGCGCTGGGAATACCCAAGTTCCTATGCCTGAAATATACATTCGCTAGAATTCTTGGGTTTTCGTCGTGCAATTTTTGTCCTGACCAACACCCAATTGCTCGCGTTAGCTATGTCGATATCTCTTTGCAGAGCGTGAAATATTTATAGTTCCGCAGAAGTCACGTGGAGTGATTTTGCAGTTTTTTTTTCCCAACTGAATCTCAGGAGTTGGCCGCCTCGGTGTTAATAGGTCGAACTGCAATTTTGTCGCAGTGTCGCCGGAGGGAAGTGCAGTCTTAATGGGTGTCCCCAAGCTACACCGTCTCACAGTCGGCACCCACTTTATGTCATCATATATGACTTGCTCGTCATTGGAAGACGAGAAGAGGAGACATGTCTTATCTCCACATCATCTCTCATTAGGGCTATCACCAAGTTTATCACCCATCACACAATGAATAGGCCTCACTGGAACTTGCTACGTCACTGCTCATAACGCAGCTCCCCGTAGCCATAGTGCAACGAAAAAATTGACACGAAGTTTCAATTTGTTGCAATAGCTTTTTTTTCTATTACTATATTACTGCAATACGTTCACATCTCGACTTTAACCAGTGTGCCTCTAGACAAGGCCTAAGCTGGAAGAAATCGTCGAATATTTTTAGTGCCTTTGTGAAGATGGAGCGATAGTAGCAACTGAATCAGGCGCCTTATTGCTAAAAGCGCCAAAATGAAAAAGTAAGAGGGGAGAAAATAATAACGAGAAAAGGTAATGGGAGGATTAAAAGAGGAGAGAGGAAACAGAGAGAAAAAACAAGGACAAAAAGAGGGAGAGAGGGGCATATAAAATAGGAATAAAATGTGGAAATTAAGTTTTAAACATAGCGCCTTTTGGTGACGTGGTGTCCTGGCATTTCTCTTCGAAAAGAATCCGCTCTTGTAGGCACCTTTCCCTAACAAGCAGCATATTTCGAAGACGGGCACGGCTTCAGAAGCCGCATGTCGCATCATTTTAACACCAATCGGCTGTATAGCAGCGTAGATTAATGGGTAAGTGCGATTGCTTCAGATAGATCTTTCGCATCAAGTGAGTCGAAGCATAAGTAAACACAGTGAAAAGACACTTCCTAGGGTGGCCTCAGAGGACGAATAGCTAGTTGCCTCGTCGAAAGCCCCGATGAAAAGTGTGGCAGCGTAATGCGGTTGTACCAGATTATTCTTTGATAAAGACTGTCAACGCATACGTAACGCCTTCATTGTGAAAGGAAACTTCCTAGCGTAACCGCGGAGGCCGAATAGTTGCATCATTTAAAAACCCAATCAACCGGTGTAGTAGCACGTAAACTAGCTAGTAATGTGGTTGCTTGACATTTAACTCTTTGATGAAACGTTACGACGCATACGAAACGCCTTCATTGGAGAATGATGCTTCCTAGTGTGGCCCCGGAAGCCAAATAGTTGCATCTCCTAAAAACCGAATCAATATTGTAGCAGCACGTATACTAGAGGATAACTTCCGGCCGACGAAATTGCGCTCTTGGTGGCAACTTCTCGTGAGATGATGACCCAAACATAGCAGGGAAGCGTCTCTTGTCTCATGAGAGAATTTTTTGCGTGGCTCTCCATATAAAATAACTGAGAGATGCTTTCCGAAATCATGCCAGTCTTCAGTTTCCTGAAACCACCAACCATATCACGGCAAGATGCAAACTCTTCACAGCTCACAAACATAATACGCCCTCAGACATAACTGAGTGGTAACAATGAACCTCGCTAAACAGAAAGGAGCCAGGTTACATCAGCGATTACCGAATTTCATGGCGCAATTTAATTTTTTACCGGAGAACGGTTGTACCTACCTGCGAATTATATTGAGAATTTCAAGGAATTTGCCTCGCCTCACAGAGGAAATTCCCCAAAATTTTCGAAAGAACCTTAGTATACTGCCGTGCTAAGAAAAAACGAAGTATGAAAATTCGAGAGTTGCCAAATTTCCTCCAATGAAATGTTTCTTTCTGAGGAGAGTTATGAATATTTTCTCTTGAAAATTTCAGATAATTTAGAACTAATTACGAAAAAAATTCGCCGATGGACTGAACGGAAAATATTCACGAGTTCTCCTGAAAATTTATATTTCATCAAAGGAAATTTGACAACTGACAAAAAGTTCATACGGCGTATTTCTTTAACACGGCAGCATATAGACTTCTGTTTTCTCATAAAAAAATAAATTATCCGATGTACGGCAATAGCTGTCTGCTTGACGCGGTCCAAATTGTTCAACAGCCAATCGTTCTCGAGCGTGCGTACGCACCAACTCGGATCCCGTATGCTACAATTATTCACCGGAAACCATCCTCGAAAACAGGAACTCTAAATTATACCGGGTTCTCTTAATAAAAGCTGATGCGACCATAGCATACAACAGGCTTGACCTCGTGCTCCTCGACAAAATCAAAAGCACTCGGTTTCTCATTGATATTGCTATGTCATCGGATGCCAACGAAGCACACGAGTGCGCCATAAAAACACCGAGTACGCCTCTTCGTGAGGATCAATGGCTCTGGAGACTATATGAGGTTCAACTTGTGCCCCTCATTAACTTGGTCACTGACGTAAAATATAATTGCTAAAACATATATTTTTAATATTACAGTTGTATACTAATCTTTTAAACTGGATATTATTTTCACGTGAGCTTCTTCAAAAATCACACGACTCGCCACATAAATTGTGGCAGATTTTGCTTTTCTCACATTCCTTCCTAAGTTCTATGACATTTTGTGACATACCTAGAAGCTATCCATACAGTCAGGGTCTTCTCTCTCTCTCTCCCCCCCCTCTTTCTCTCTCTTTTTATAAATGTATATCTGCCTCACACATTTTCCTCCCATCAAGGAGTTAAGATGAGGCATTTTTATATAAAATCGTCTTTGTATGGTATTTACCTATCTTTTTCTTCATACGAGTATTTTTTTACAGCTGTAGAAATTAGTTCTGCTATCAGGGTATCAAAAACCGACAACCGATGTCAAATCAGTTCATCTACTAAATTCTCACTGCAATGGGCCTGTTGCAAACTTTTGCTAGAGCAAAACTAAGAGTTGTTTCCTGCAGATAATGCCTCAAAAATCACGATGAGCGCATCGGCAAAGTCTGAAACGCACTCATAACTTCACAATCTGCGTAAGAAATTTGCGGTTTTTTGAGCTTTCCGCTTCGAAAACGATACTACGGTACAGGAGAACATTTTGTTAGAGGAGTCGTTCCATTGGCGACAATACTCATCATGGCCGACGCCAGTCCGCCAAAACACGTGTGATGGGACGAGATAACACCTGAACAGGATTAAACCATATAACAATCGGCGTGTTTACGTTCATATTTTCCTCGCCCGCCTTAATTGACCTTGAACTCTCCTCGAATTACGCGAGGAACTGCGCAAGCGTCGGCCATGATGAATATTGCCGACGATGGAGCGACTCCTCTAACAAAATATTCACCTGTGCAGTAGTATCGTTTTTGAAGCGGGAAGCTCAAAATAACGCAAATTTCTTACGCAGATTGTGAATTTATTAGTGCATTTCAGACTTTGCCGATGCGCTCATCGTGATTTTTGAGGCATTATCTATAGGAAACAACTCTTCATTCTGCTCTAGCAAAAGTTTGCAACAGGCCCATTGTTCTCCCCATCATTCGGATTTCAGGGAAACCGAACAATCGAATGATTTTTTCAAACATTTTAATGAAATTAAGTCTTCCATACCTGGAAATGTTTCTATACTCGCTCAAAACGTCACTGAAGTCGATAGACAATTGCAGTGTCACAGAAGAGGAATCCACAGCCACATTTTTCCGAAGTAATCTGGAAAAAAGTTTGAGCACGATTATAATTTTTTTTTAAAAAATCATGGAAAAATAATGCTTGAAATTGATAATGAAATGAGCGATATCAAACCTAAAATTTAATTTTTTTTTTTTTAAACTTTTATTAATTCAGGAAATACTGGGCACTGCTTAAGATATTGCAGATATTTGGCAAGGAATCCTCGAAGAAACCAAGAAAACGATCCTATGTGATTTGAACCAATTAGTTTAATCGCGTGCTTTGCACCATTTCCGTAAGTTTACGTTGACCTCGAGCAACTATTCAAACTCCCCGGAGATATAATTGCATATCCACCGAAATGAAGGAACTTTGAGTGAGTGCAGTGATCGTGATCAAGCAGTTTGTTTCAGTGTATCGCGCCATGAGCAGATGTTCGCGTTGATGCTGAGGAACTATTTTAACTCCCCGGAGATCGAATTGCATTAATACGAGATGAAAGGGCTTCGAGCTGATTCGGTGGTTATGCTCCACTGGTTTGGAACGGAGAGTGAGGTTGAGTTGTAACACAAATGAATATCAGTGGAGATAAATAAGTGAGTTCGGAAAATTTTAAAATTGCCATAGGTAAATCCACTCTATGAATAAGAGGGTAGTAATACAACCAGTTAGAGTGGTCGCTTCCTCTTTTCCTCTTTTTTTACGTATAGCACATTCGCAGAGTTACATATCTTTTAAGACAATTACCATGTAAATTATGATCGTTACTCGATAGCGAAAGAATTACCTATAAGCTGCTCCAACAATAAACGTTCGATCTGTGAGCACAATATATTTCAGACCAGCGGGGAGATTGATACAGTTGCTTTCTTCAGCGGTCAAATTATTTTGATCATCAGTCCCATTCAGCGAGTCCAACCTGAAAAATTCAGTCAATATGCATGCATTTTATTATGCTAACCGAACCCTCGTTCTACAGTACAGCTATTTCATGATCAAATGTGTGTTTCCGCTGTAAAATCAAGAAACTGCGAAGATAGGCGTAAGAAGAAATCGGTCGAATTCCATTCTTAGAATAAATAAGACATCGTTTTCTCAAACATAAAAGCACGACCTTGAAACAATTCGACATTATCACTCCACAGAATTGATTTTTCAAGAGACATTTTAAAAATTCTACACGCAAACTGCACTTAAAGAAGCAGTTTCTTTTGTTAATTGACAAAATTATGCTTGTTATCCAACAAAATTTTGGGCAAAAACCAAATCCTCCTTTTTGTGACACGTTCATTTGTGATCAACCAACAGATGTTTAGATATAATTGCAGTAAGTAATAGCTTTTAGGGCTGATTGAATGGACTGCATTATGCAAGGAGCCACCATTTAGGCTCATTTTAGGAACAACGTGTGACACTTGTCTCTTAGGAATATATATTTTATCGGTTATACATGTAACAACACGTGGGAGCCCGTACTTCGGTGTCCTATCTGCGCACAGAAATATTGGCTCTGCACAGTTTTGCCTGTATTTATACCCTTATCCTTTGACCGTAAGGAAAATCGCTTCCCATAGAATTGCAGGCGCTTTTTGTAGCATCATTCCCTCGCAGTAAGATCTGAGAAGAGTACGCCACTAATGTAAAGGAATATTTTTTTTCTTTCTTCATATCATCATTCAAACTTTATGACACTGTACATACTTAAATGGAAACTTAATGCAATTTGATGATATCATCATCATTGAAGAGTAAAACCTATCTCGGTTGACGTTTTTAAAACTGAATCAATTATTTTTATTAGACAGCTTGGCGTAAGTTATAACAAAAATTTCAAACCTGAAAATGGGAATGTAATTAGTTTCATTGTTGCTCAGGCCGTCAATTGAGAGGAATGAAGGTCCACCGATAAGAATTTCAACCGTCTCGGTCAAAACATCCCTGTAAAATGACAATCATAGTGCGTAAGTATTTAATTCATAAAAATTAGGAAATCATAATCAAGCTCCCGGGTTTTTGTTCCTAATTTTAAAGGGTTTTAATGTTCCAGAAAACATTTTCATTATAATCAAAGTCAAAATTTGCATTATAGGTACATGGCAAATAACACAATAACACACCCTGAGTATATTTACTGAAGAAAATGCGTACTACTGATGTGAACTTATATGATTGACGTATTAGCAGATTCCAAGTCAAACAATTAATAAAATTCAGTATTTTTTCTTTCAATTATAAATTTTATATGTGCTCAGCCATGATGTAAAGTCTACATGATTTTTATACGAAAAATTTAGAGTAAAATGTATACGATCTTTTCAACGCAGGAATTTCTTAAATGTTTGAATTGAGACGGTCCAAGCTGACTATATTTTCGGCAAAATATCACAGCGTTCTTTTAAAATCGCGGTTCATCGTTTTTAACTTTGAAAAAAAATAATACTCTCAAAGGATCAATTTTTAAAATTATTGAAAGTTCTTTTCTGACAGATGCAAGGTTATCCCCTCTGATCAAAGGTATAGATCACTCCTTTCTTCTTATCTTGAGGTCCATGCAGTTTGCCTGGCTTATCAAATTTTATCATTTGCACATTTAAATTGGACGTATCTTTGTCAAATGGAACTATGTGCATTATGGCTTGAGCTCCGTTATGCATATATTCTTATGGGTCTCAGGGTTCATGTCTTAATGCACATAGTTCTGTTTGATAAAAATACGTCCAATTGATACTCACTCAAGGGAGTCGCAGGCTCCTTTGAATTCATCCGGTATCGGAATTGAGCAGAATGAGGTAACACCAACGCCCATCTTGACAGAAGTTTCGTCCCGGCATTGACCTGTAATCAATGAAGAGAATATTCATAAGGCCTTGTCCACACGAGCGCGTTCGTGGAACTTCGGGTGAACGTGTTCCAGGAACTTGTCATAACTCAGCTATAACTTGTTCCTGGAACCCCTAGTTTTAAGGAACCAATTCGTCCAAACTCATAGTTTGGACCTATAGTCAGCCTATGGCTCGTGTGTACAAGGTCTTAGGTGTCAGATTAACGTGCAGGGGACCTTTTTATTAAACATTATGAAATTTTTGCGTGTGAAGGTGTAGTTACAATACTTTTTGTATCACGTATTTATGGTTCTGATGAACAGAAACACAAAATCTTCCGTGCTCGGTAAAATTCCTCCAGGTTTTTCTTAAAGTCGAATTTTTTTATGTTTTAATGGGTCATTAATTGATTTATGATTTCTTATAGACAAAATTGTGACAAACATGTACTCAGACTTTGGACATAAAGGGTATTCTATTGTTTTGTTTTGTTTGTTTGTTTGGAACCATCGCAAATCAATATGTTAAATAAAGCTAGGATGACGAAAGCCACTTAATTATGCTATTCGATCTTGAGTCAGTCTGACTGGATACAGTCGACCATTTTCTCCTCTCATTAGTTTCAGTTCAATTTGAAAATAATCAATGTGTCGACCACGTTCTGCAAAAATGTATGACGAGGAACCATTTTTAGTGTTGCTCATTTCCTTAACCTGTTAAACGTCCCTTTGTACGTCTGCGGATGAGTCGTCTGCTGAAAGAAGGAGGGACAACTGCACGGTGTCCTGCTTTCAGCCGTCTCGTTTCACAACCTTGATAAAACTCTTTGCATCGACTGCATCGTGAGACGTGACGGAGAAAAAAAATGCAGAATTCAATTTGTCGAATGGAACACGGAAGGGGGGAGTAGCGTGGCGTGCTTTGCGATATATCGATTGATCTACCATTTACACCTAGAAAAGGATCGATAGACAGAATGCTCGCAACAAACACGTCAATATTCGATTCTTTACCGTAGTTTTGAATGGGGAAATATCGATAATTGATCATTCACGTCTCGCCACTGATGGACCGGGGGGGGGGGGGGGGGGGGGGGGGGTTAGAAGAGTCATGAAGTGGTACGTGCGTGAGGAGCCAACAGGAGCCGATTGCAATATTTCGCTCAGATTGAGCGATCGCCAATTTCGCGCCGGTCGACCATGCTAAACGGGGAACATGCTCTAGGATCTTCGAAATTGCGGTACGTGACAGCACGTGACATGATGCGTCGGTGATGAAATTTCTCATCGTTTTTCGCACAGTGGATCCCTACTTGTCTCTAATTGCTCAAACCACTCGTTCTGTGAAAAAAAATCTTAAATCAAGCATGGGCTCCCAAAATCATAAACTCCAGCAGGTCGATTTATTGAATCATTGTCGAATGACCTTGATCGATAATTTACATTACTAAGTTAAGGAAATATCGAATAAGATCTACTCGAGGACGATCCGAGGATCTACTTGCAGAGAGGCAGATTCACAGATCGATGGTGGGAGCATACCAAACCGTGCGTATCGGTTCGCTTTTGTTACGATTCTGTCACATTTTTTTTTTCATCATTTTTACATAATAAGTCAAAATAGCACTATCTAAACCAGAGAACGGAGGAGGATAAAATGAAACGAAAGGGCCACTAAAGATGTGGCCCGAATACAGTAAGTGACGAGAAGTTCGAAATTGGTAGAATGGAATGAGAGAGTACATGGTGAGGAAGTGTTCTATAAATATTTTGGAATAAAATGAGGTACGCTCACAAGTGTCATCAGACCCTACCCTCCCACCTAGAGCGTTGCGTATTTCATAAGCGACCCCATCGATCGAATAAAAAAAAAATATTCGGGGGGGGGGCGGTCGATGGAGGAGAGAGGGGACAACAGAGTATTTTACCAAAATTTTCACCTCCAGTGTCCTTTTTCATCAATTGTGAACTATTGCATTCCAAAATAGTCATCCACACAAAGCGCTCGAGGATTTTTCAATTGAAAGGCTAGTTGTTAGAAAATGGGTACGAGTGAAATTGGACATCTATGGTATTTCCACTTGTATTTCAAGTAAACAACTCGTGTAAGCAAGTTCGTTCAGTTGGATTATTATCCACCGTGTTTTCAGTCTCCTATAGCAAAAAAGTAGCACTTACTAAATGCTGAAAACGAAATCATCACGAGGCCTTGTTTCTATTGAGCGCATATTGATCCCGCGTGCATGTTCTTCTTGGAACTTGTTATTGGAAATGTTGAGAGCTATTTCGCGTTTATGCAAAATGCAATCCATGATGAACATTGTATAGGCAACATTTTTTTTCTCCGTGTGTAACTAAGTATATGTATGCCTAGGCAATCATTGAATAATTTTCTCGATGATTTGAAATATAGTTTCGATTTGTGTCACTTAATATCATGCAAATACATGCATGAAAATTTCAAGTGCATGTGCCCTAATGAAATTTTGTTCTTCACCCTTCATGATAATTTTCGCAGAGCATATTTCCCTTCTTACATTATTTTTCAGTGTATAATTGTATTCATATGATGTTGGCTTTGTATTTCATCACTGTGCAACTTTAGTTGCGGACTGCATGGTTCAGGTCAGCAATATCGTGCAGATTATCCTTAAATTTTGAATTGACGAATATAACAACAATTTACAAAAAAATTCTGAAATGTATATTTTCAATGTAAGCGTAGAACTGAATGAAGTATCATCAGACAACCATGCTTCAAAATCGTCTAAATTTACTCCTCCAATCAAATCTTCACAAGGGACGGGGCGACGTCTCTCTCCGGGTAAAAATAATTGACAGTGGGAACTCTAAACCAGAAATTAATAGTCTATGTTGCCGATTCTCTATTTTACAATATATCTTCATGTTTAATGCAGTGTTTAGCGAACAGATGCTTATAGAATAAGATTAATGGATAGTTTGGAAGAAATTCCTTTACTGTCTTGGTGAAAACTATAATTTTTTCATTAATTTGTTCGTAAACTTCATGTAGTAAATACTTTGGCGTTTCAAAATACGCATTCCTCTCAAATCGGACTAAAATAAATGAATACTTGGTCTATTTGACAGGGCTGTCTTCTGCACGGTGTTTTATGCAAAAGAGAGAGGCACCAATTACCTCAGTGTCAGCGATGAAAAAATGAGCGAAACAAATAAAAGCAGAGAAATATCTCGCTGTGATAAATTATTCCACAGCTACGATGAACTGCTGATTTAATTTGTGAGATTCGTTTCCTTTTCCCACGGAAAATTTTCATTGCGCCTTGGAAAAGCATGTTCCTTCAGTTTACTTTCCTTCAGCGTAAATGCACTGGAGAGTCAGTGTTGCTTTGCTGATAGAGGCCATTTCCAAACTTATTCACGTAACACATTTGATAAGCCGAAAATACATATAATACTAAGAAAAAACTTACAAAAAACCGGGGTACAATCTGAAAAGAAAACAGATACTATTTGGGAGGTTTCAGGATTAAAAAACGCCTTTTCAAGCTATAAAAATAGTACAAAAGTAAAAATACAAGTCGCTGTTTATCGGTAAGGCAAGATTTTTCAAACCCTCACCTCAGGAAAGCGGGCAGGGCCGGATTTACCTACTTGCCGCCCATGGGCCGCTTGTAATTTTCCGCCCCCTTCTAATTCGTTAAGTGAACCGGTAGAGGAGGGGTGTATGAAACGTGTTCACTCGTGTTGGGCACATTTTTTGTGAAAGCCCTGTCAACACTAACGAAAGTTCACGGAACTTTACGCGAAAGTTAAGTTCCGTAAACCCACCTCTGTTTGGACAAGGCCTTCCATTCATAACAAAAGAACGGAAGAAATATGAAAGAGCAAACATAAATGTGGTTTAATAATTTTAACTCCTGCCGCTGCGCCACACCGACCACCCTGTGTTTTGCGCAATGCGTGAAGTATTCATGAAGTCTTGTAGGCGCTATGAGTTTCACGCCGAGCGACTGCTGTTGACCGCAGTGTGTTTGACGCAATGCGTGAAGTATCCATACAGTCTTGTAGGCGCTATGCGTTTCATGCCGACCGCCGCGCCGAGGGGTTCTCCTTTTCATCTCAGTCCTCGTCATCATTGCTCTCTGCGCCGCTCCGCTCAAGGTCGAATTGCGTGTTTGGTTTCTCTCTTAACTCGACTAATTAAAGGTGTTGTATTTGGTATCACCGAAAGACGACAACGTTAGATGTATAATATACTTTTACTCTTAGGAAATGAGAGATATTGTCGCATTTTCTCGCATGTAATTTATTTTCTGAATACGATTTTGTTCTTCTTTTTTGATACCTACTTTCAAAAAGATTGCAAAAAACGGCAACCCTTAAGAGACCCCCGATTGATTGTCCATGACAACTAATAATCGTTTCAATTAATACCGAAATAACAATTTTTAACGGAAAAATCGCAATAATTTGAAAGTTACTTGTAATTTTTTTTACGATTGGTTTGTTACTAGGATCATCAACATCTGAGCGATTATCCTCGATCTTGTCACATGCTGCTATATAATCGCGTTCGATAAAATTGAAATTTTATCTCAATTTTTCTCGATTTTTTGCTATTGCGACAAATCGCCGTCAATGAAATTGCGATTTTATTTGCTATGTGATGAAATCGCAGTTTGTATCCGATTTTATTGCAATAAATTGACGTCCATTAAATCGCGATACATTTTTCGATCAAATCGTAACATACTGCGATCACTACTGCTTGTGTAGTATTGTTCCATTCTCCTTTTGTCCTATTCGTCCATAGATTTGTCTATCAATTTCAATATCAGCCCGGAGAGCGATTATCAGGAGCGATTTTTCGGCGGCACAATCGTCGTTCTGAAAATTAACCCCTCTTGGTTAGGTTAGACTAAGGTCCCTTTTTCGTGGACAGTCACATTTATGCATGTGTCAAGCTCAATCATCTTCGAACCCGAAAGAGTATACAGTAAGCTGGATATCGCCCGAAGTAACCGCCGAACCACGGAGAATCAATCAAGTTGATGAGAACCTCGATCCTCGATGGGTTTCGGTCTCATGATTTCCACGCGTTTTCAATCACTTAGGTAAACAGCCCTTGCTGGCCCCAGCCCGAGGATGTGACTCCGACGCCTGTATCGGGAAATTTAGTCGAAATATTATCCTGCTTGCTCGACACCATTTTTAATCTGCTCAATCGGAGGAGACCTCGTTTCGAGGCAACAAATCGTTCTTTTGAACAAAATCATGAAACATTTTCGCTCTTTCTTGCAATAGACATCTAGACAAGGGATGGATATTAAAGCGCAATGCCAAGTGTTTTCGCTTCAAAATTCAACAAGGAGAACAAATCATAATGCCTCTGTCACGCAAGTTTTTAAAATAAATAACTAAAATGGCGACACATAACGATACTAAACCATACATTTCCTCACCTTCAAGTCTGTATTGTCAACCCTCGTTTAGAAAAAATATTTTAAAGAGCTCTGAGAGCTCACCTCATTCAGCATTGTTGAAAAAGGTCAGTGAAATCTACAATTTTTTTTCACTTCGGCCACTGTTGCTAGGGCTACTCTACTCAAAGTCCGTCCGCTTTTCCGTCGTCGGAGACTTGGAGAGGCTAATCGGAGCTTTCTCTGAGAAATGACGTCAGACCTAATGCGATCCGAACGCATTTGTGCCTCACTGATCAGATTGTAAAGCTTTGGACGACCACTCCTCTCCTCCGTCGCGAAAACGGAAGAGAAGTCTCGCCTTGCGAACCTCCCTTAGAGAGCAATGCTTCACTGAATTCTTCAAGACGAATTTGCCTGTCTGGACTGGAATTGGGATTCTCGCCAGTAAATAAAGGCTGTATTTATAGTGTTGTTCCGTAAACAGCTTGGAAAAGCCCCATATCCATTATGGTTAAGGGAAGTTAAGAGGGCATTTGATATCATCATAAAAAGGATAATTTTTCGAGCTGTGAGTAAACTTTATGAGGAAAAAAAGCAGATCTTTGTAGGGGATTAAAATGATTTTTCACATCAAAAATGGCACAATGAAGTAGAAGAAGTATAAATTAGAGGCTGGGAGGACAAGGCGCATAAGTGCAGTTTTTCCTATTTCGAGAAATACGTGTTTGAAGTTTCGGAATTACATGGATCCTTATGGCAAAAAAAAATCGAAATAACTTTTTGATGCTTAAAAATTGGGATTTGGGAGCGGTTTTTTACAGAATATGCATTATGAATTGTTTCACTTGAAATCATTAATATCGTAATTTTTTCAAAAACTGCACTTAAATGCGCCTTATTGTCCTCCAAGCCCCTTAAATGCTTTAGTGTGACGTAGTGAACATCATATGCATCCTTTTAGCCGCAGTATAGTCACATATAGATTCCAAGGACGTACTGTTCCGAATCATCTACTTACAGCGTGATATTTAAGTATGGACTCGAATGAGCTAGCTATTGCCTAACCCGTATAGGGAAGGCGTTTGAATAACGCATACCATTTATTTAAAAAGTGTAATGTCATCCTTTTCCCAGCAACGCGGTGATTTTTCCCGAACATTCCACCACAGTCAAGGTATCGGTAACATTCTTCTCGTATCGTTACGGTTGTTATCGCATCAGGACCGGATTAAGGGGGTGGCCATACTTGGGCCGCGGCCTATGGCGGCAAAATTTAGGGGGCGGCAAATTTTGCAATATTTTTGAATGTAGGTATCAAAAAATGAGAGTAAACAATCGGATTCAGAAAAGAAATTACAAACGAGAAATGGCGACAAAATCCCTCATTTCCTGAGAGAAGAAGTAAAGTAATTTCTAATTTTGTTGTCTTCCAGTGATACAAGAGTCGACACCTTTAATTAGTCAAGTTAAGAGAGAAACTAAACACGCAATTTAACCTGAAACGGAAGCGGCGCGGCGGTCGGCATGAAACACATAGCGCCTACAAGACTACATGAATACTTCACGCATTTCGTCAAACACACTGCGGTCAGCAGCAGTCGGCTTGAAACGCATAACGCCTACAAGACTACTTCACGCATTGCGCCAAACAATGTGGTCAGCAGCGATCGGCGTGAAACGCATAGCGCCTACAAGACTGCATGAGTACCTCACGCATTGCGCCAACACAGTGCGGTCGGCGCGGCGGTAGAAAATTTTTAACCACATTTATGCTTGTTTTTTCATAATTTTTTCGTTCTTTTTTGTAAAGAGGAGGCCTTGTCCACACAGAGACAGGTTTACGGAAAATTTTTGTTTGAGATTATATTCTATTGTTTTGAACCAAACGATACATCGAACCACTGTCAAATACGATCTATTGATGTTTCAAAACAAATGAGAAGGGGGCGGAAAAATACAGGCGGCCCATGGGCGGCATGTAGGTGAATCCGGTCATGGATCGCATCGTTTTTGGTAGAAGCGTGTGAGCTAAAATGTTCTTTACCGGTTTAAGGTATGAATTTTAGGTCAACAGAGACAACGCGGATCCGCCCGTTTTCAACCCATGCATTTTTCGCCGAGCGCACGTTCATATTGAATTATAAAGACAATTTTTCACCGTGAGTTCTTACGTGAGAAACTTACGATTTATGAGGAATCCCGCCAGGCAGTGCTTCTAAGATACACGGGTATTTTTATACTTATCATCTCGCTCGAGCATCTTAGAGGATGGTAGGAACAAGTAACTTTTTGTGTTCGTGTGCTCGCGCATTACCCTCCGATTCTCTAAGGAGCCTAATTTTTCTTCGTGATAATGCAAGTTCAGAATATGTTTGTTGTCGCGCGAGTGAAACTTTTGCACTGCTTTTAACTGGGGAAAAACTCAACAAATTTTTACTGTATGTTTGTTTTGGATAAAAAAGGAGGAGGTATCAGAGGTCTGCTCGCTAGTTGGTTAAAATTCAGAACACTATAGTTTTTCTACACTCTCGCCCTTTGAATGTCTTCATTCAAAATATTAAAATTCCCTTCCAAAGAAGTGTGTAGAAAAGTATACCCTATGCGACAAAAACCTTCGTTTCAACATGTAGGTCTTTTCTGCGAGGTGAAAATCTTATTTTCTAATTTCTAAAAATAAATTTTAAAAAGTTCTAAAAGTCTTGAAGAGATACTTCAAGAACGGGCACTTACTCTTCTTCTGCAATAAGCAGATGCTCCTGCTAAGTTACGAACATAGATACATATATGCATATGCTTTATAGAAATTAATTATTGATAGGCAATCAGCAAGTAAAATTATACATTTTGTGTATACACAAAATATTTATGACATTATATTATACATTATGTGCCAGCTGTCATACTGAGGTCAGTATTTTATTTGATATTCAACCATCAAACCAAATCGACGAATCTCGTAACTTTATTTTATCCCGAATTTGAGCTGAAGTTTTCAAAAGATAACTCTCATACGAGACAAAAATAAACTAAACAACTACGCAGTCCTCGGATCAGACCATGACACTGGTTCGAGTCGCGGGTGAAAATCAGAGTAGCCGAACTTTCGTAAATACTTAAACCGACAAATTCTTGCAGAGAGTTGCAAAAATAAGGTATGATTTCGGGACAAGATCAGCACGCGCGGCAACAAGTGCACAAAAATAATGTCCTGAGGAGATGAGTCACAATTAGAGGGAAACACCGATTAGTCGCCTAATAATACCAGCAGTGATCCGCTCGCGTCTCGACATACTCTATAAATTAGCGGCACTCATACTTTATTTGCTAGTTGGTTACCTCTGCAACATTTTCGCACACTATTTTCAGTGTCTTCAGTCTTGTATTTCCCAAGTCGTTTCAGTGTCCACCGCGGAAACATGCGTTGCTTTATTTTGTTGACTGTGTGTTGTGCCACCGCCTATTGTGCCAGCATTGCCCCGAAAGATACTGAGAGCAAAACCCCCAGCCCGACGGTTGTGGAAGATAAGAAAACCACCGAGTCTGAGACACCCGAGAAAGCCGGAAAGCCAGTCCCTCTTCCTGCGGACAAAATCGCCGAGCTGATCAGCAGGACGCACCAGAACAAGAAGACAAACGCCCCGGAAAAATCTGGTGAGGCTTCCATGAAGAGCAAGTCAACCGGTGTCTCGAGCCAGCAGGGTAAGAAGACAGTTGAAGCCCACGCTGAGAAAGAGAGCAGCGTTGAAGTAGAGGGAAAGAAAACAACCTCCCAGAACCGTCCTTCCAAAGTTGGGGGAGCACAGGCGAACCAACGGACCCAGATGAAGAAGGAAGCGAAATCCGAAGAGGTGACCACCCGTGCCCAAAAGAAGGAGTCGACTTCTAAAGCTCCAGCCCAAGGTAAGCTTTCACACACGTAGAGTAAATAAGTTTTTAGCAATAATAAACTTTCAGATCGTCGAGAGTGAGTTTAGAATGACGAGTGCAATAATTGTAAAATAATTGGTTATTCTGGATAATATGAGTTCATAGTTCTCACAGACTAAGGGGGTAAATGATGGACTAACTATCGGGTCTCTCGTGGGTTGCCGTTAGTTTGTCTATTACCTATACGTCCTTTGTCAATTGCAACCACCCGCTTCCACCAATAGGATTCCTTCATGTCCTTTTTGTTTTCTTTGTCTATTGCTATGTCTAACAGTTTCAATAATCAGCCCGCTACCTCCAAAATTACGTGCAAGTCCAGATTCTCCCTGTCCAGTTTCTACCCCCTCCTAGAGCAATGTCGCGAGCACAGAGAAACGCGGGGCATCATCAAACAACGATTGAGGCCACAGTGGCTTTTAAGGGCTCGGAACTTGTTGCATTTCCGCGGGAAAATTGCGAAAAGAGGAGGATCGCGGATGGTAACGGTAAAAAAGTAATCAAACCACGGGGCGAGTGCGGGTCGGGCTGCCAACGCTTTTTTAATCAAGATGCAAGCCCCGGCGCGAAGATAAACGTAAAATAGCGCTCGTTAAAAGCCACACTTATCTTCATAATAATTGTAATGCACCGGCACAATTACGGACGCGGCCGAGTGCAAACCCTCGTCCTTTTATCCGGGGATGCGTTCTGCCGTCCTAAGGAAGAACGCCGTATGAACCTTCAGGCGTTGCCGAATTTCCCTCGATAAACCGCGGATTTTCGAAAAAAATTTGTGAATATTTCGTTACCTTCCAGGCAAAGTATCACAAGCGCCATGCGACGTTTAAAAATTTCCGCCGCCATTTTATTTTTTTACTGAGAAATTGTTGGTTGAATCTGTTTGGAAATTTCACTAAATTTTATCGGCAGCACAAAGAAAATTCAGTGAAATTTTCGGACAGCTTCGTTGAACAATTTCTCTGTAAAAAAATAAAATGGCGGCGGAAATTTTTGAACGTCACATGGCGCTTGTGATACTTTGCCTGGAAGGTGACGATTTCTCCTCCGATTTTTCAGAGGATTTCGTCCGTAATTTGATCTAAGTGTGAAAATTGCAAGGAAAAATATTCACAACTTTCCTCAATTTTTTGAGAGGAGATTTGGCAACATTCGAATGCTCATACGGCGTTCTTCCTTAGCAGGGCAGCGTTGCGGGGGAGCGCTCGACACTTCAACGGCTCAACATCCCGTTCCTCCCGTTTTGCGTTCGTTATTTCGACGAATTAATCTGTCGGGAAGCGTCGCGCTTTGGTATTCACCTCTCGGAAAAGAAGATTTGTCATAATTATTCGCATTGTCAAAGATGGTTAAATGAAATGTTGTTACATTATTTCATTCCTTAATTAAAAAACCATTCAGAGTAACGGAAAGTATGCATTTGTTGCTGCAATTGGATTGTACAATTTTGATGCGTGTCTTTCATGTGTTCCTTTGTCAATTAGAATCCTGTAGAGTATCTATACAGAGAGAGAGAGTGCGGACATGCCGAACTACGGAGCTCATAAGGCTCAGAAGGGTAGCCAACCTTCTAACTCAAAAAATGTCACTGCCATTCTTCGGGTTCCAGTATCAAACCAAGATGGCTACGAATGTTCATAAATGTACGTTCCTCCGCACCAAGTCAAATACGTGCTTTACAAACGACGGGTTGTGATAATTTTAATAATACAAAACTCTAGATAATTTTAATTTGTAGGTTGGCTGCCTTTTTGGGCCTCACATTTAATATTAAGGAGAGCCTCCAAATTTGATCTCATTAGTCATGCTCGGCAAAAAATCGATATATTTGTGCGCATTGGTAATTGATGAGACCAAAGTAAAATAAATTCGGAGACAAATAGACACCCGCTTACTTGCCCCTCGGCAACAGATAGAAACTTTTACTTTTGCGGCTTCACCGTTTCAAATTACCTTCTCTGAGGCTGCTGTGTGACGTCTCAAGTAATGCGTTTCTGTTAACGAGCCACAGTTTGGTAACTTGTCTGCACTCACCCGAGAAAAGTACTTTACATTACCCTTGATGTTACCTTCTTGTTAACTGCTGCGAAGTGTGTTGAGTAATTCGTTTAGCAAATGAGCCTCATCCCCTTATAAAATTTCTAAAGCATACTGTTCACTGAAAAAAATGGTCAAGAAACATTTTTTTGAAGTAATATCATATTGTCTATGATTCTAAGAACATTTCCTGGGGGTACTTTGTTTTATTTAGAGAAATTTTTCTGAAAATAAAATATAGTTTTTTTAAGTCGAATAATCTTTTTTGAGAAAATTAAAATTGTCATCAAGGACAAAGTTATATTTTAAAAAGTGAAAAATGCATTTGAGTTAAAACAATTCCTTTCGTTCAAAAAATGTTTCCTCCAAAAAAAGGGAAAAAAATTATCTTTACCTCAAAATAATATTCGATAACTCAAAGAGAATTTCTTTGAACATTTTAGAGAGCTAAAAAAATCGTCTTTAACCATCTCTTTCGGTGCTCATCCCGAAGACTAACAGTAAACAGAGAGGAAAGATAGCTGCTAGTATTTGACTTTTGGGGGGAAATATGTGCATTCTCAGAGGAATATTTTTCATTATTGTCGGAATATTGAATTGGGGGATCTCAATTTTGTTTTCCTTGGAACCGGCCAGTTTCAGTGACACAGAAAAAATTAATGCTACGATAACAGCCTAGGCTCGTCATAATATGTCTGGAGAACCCTGGATACTGCGTTGGCAGTCAGGCCAGCACTTAGGGATCACCAGACACATTTTCGACATCCTACTTTTTTCTGTGGTAAAGTGAGGGATCAAAGCTGTTATCCACTCACAATAATGAGCTTCAAAGGAAAATAGGCAACCATGTAATGGCAAAAAGTTGCTCGAAGGCAAAGTCAAACGTCGGATAACAAAAACGACCCGACGGAGGTGAGCGGCAAAACAAATGCGGCCGATTACAAGGGCACGAAAAATCACGGCCCGGGTTCGGATCGTTTGTCCATGCTTGATCACCTCAAATATTTCGTCCGGGACATGATTCCCGTTTGTCGCCAAGTTGTGGAAATTCAGGGCCGTATTCATAGTCACTGGGGAAAACGACTCTTGGATCCCGAGTCCAGACTCTTAAAAAAATTGACAAAAAAATAAACTCTTGATTCAATCGGATTTTGTCTTGCACCGAGAGCCAAGCCACCGCTTAATTTGTTTTATGATACTACTTAAGTAGCCTTCCTGAACCTAAGTGGCACGATGCAACAATACTATTGAAATACAATTTCTATTTGATGCAATAAAGTTGAATTTTTTTGTTTTTACCACGGAATTCCAATAGTTTGACACCACCGGGTCACGATATATCCCGATTTTGGACGATCCATTATAAATAAGTTCCATGTACATGTAAGAGAAATACAAATCTACGGTGTAAGTCAGCAATCACATAACTCGGTTTGCGACGTCGCAGACTTCCTGTCATACTTTATTTTTTAAACGGAAAACTACTCAACGACAATTCTTTAAAACTGCCGTGATTTTTCTACTCTGTGCGAAGATAATTCTGCAAACATTTTAAGGAATGATGTCAATTTGTTCTCCTTTAAAAAAATAACAAAGAGGCGGAGATTTTCAGACACCGCAAACGAGTCATGTGATTGCCGACTTACACCGTCGCTGTCCTTTGCAATATGGAGAAAAACTTATTGGAATGTTTTTGAAATAAATCTTAACAAAAGCCCCTTCAATTAGTAGACAGGCAACATATACAACATTGCGATAAAGTAGTGATAACCATGTATTCGTAACGTATTGCAACCTATTGCGAACCGTATAGGGTCTGTCTAAGCCTGAGGGATCAACCACGAATACCGGCCTCAGCCATGATGGACTCACCGCGAATTGGGTGAAATTTCATACAGAATTGCCAACAAGGTTAACCGGTGCCCCCTGAAACCGAGGTCAGGACAAAAGGGAAACCGCGACTTCTCTCGAGACCTTGCCTGTTTTTTTTTGCACCGAATATCGACTTTCGATCAATCGAAGTTGGTCGAAGTTGCCTGTTAAGGGCGGTTAACTTTGGGTTAAATGACCAGACATTTTCTGTCAGAGGGTTCGCACTTCGGAAATGAGACTTGTACTCTTTCAACGGGAGAGAGAATTTCTTTCGCAGTATGGTCTCAATGAATTGAGGCACTTGCGGAGTTTATATAGAACTTTTTTTTTTTCTCTCTCTCTCTCTTCTCTATAAGGTGAATCTGAGAGATATAGGGACCAACGCTGTCATTTTTTTGGCTGCTGTATAAGTCGCAGGTAAATCAGGCATTTAATCGAATGCTTAGGCAGATCGTCAAATGCTCAAATGCTGATAGTTTATGAAATTTTATATGTTTATGACGTATGACTCTCGAGGTTTCAATGTTTTCAAGGTAGGAATTCATCAAAACTACAAAGTATTCTCGTATTTTGCTTTTCAAATGCTCCACATATATTTCAATTGAAAACATTTTGAATATTTTGCATTTTATAACATGCTACAAATTTTGAGATAAATGCTCATTCAATGACTAGAAAAAAATGACTTATTCACCATTATATCATGAAATTTTCACAGAGATAATTATTCTTTCACGATCAAAGATTTTAGATGTTAGGAGTTGAAATATTTTGAGCTTTTGCGATTCAAAATCTGCCCCGAAAGTGATCGATTCAGAGCGCTTGAGGCTGGAGCAATCCTCGCCTTAGAACCATGACTTTTGAAATTCGGCACCGCTGGAAGACGCGCTGAAGGAAAATGCAAATGAAACGAAAGATAAAAAGCGTTTGAGGGAAACGACGTGAAAGGAGGTGACCGGCGAAGAAAGCCGCCGACTTCTGCGGGGCCTTCGTCTTCCGAGGGAGAAATAATAATCAATACCGAAGAGGAGAATTTATAATAACAGAAAAGGTGCGAAAAGCAATGGCAGCGGCCTCTGAGCGCCTTGAATAATTCCTAACTTGAAATCTTGCAAGTTTACAAGTGTCAGTGGGAAATTCTCCGTTGCCGCCCCTCAGGTTTTTTCAGTCTTATCTTTTTCTTTAATCGAGAGGAATATTTTTTTGTCTTTAAAGAAAGGGTAAAGGTAGAAGGTAAAGGTTAAAGTTTAAAGATTGTTTGATGAATGAACGTATTTAAGCAAAAAGGAAAAACTGTAGTTTTCTCTTTTAACAAATTTCAATGATAATTTAAACAAAAAAATAAATAATTACTCCTGAGAATGCTTGGCAAATTCTCGTCTTCTGTATACTTCTTCACGTTTCAAAGGATCATTTTTAGAGCGTTTCTTTACAGTTTGGATATGAATGAAAATTTAGAACGTTCCAATGCAGTCTTTTTTCATTTTGGTTTAACAATTGTTGTGTGATGATACAGCTCACTAAACGCAGCTACCCATACTTGAATACACAGTCGTGAGCTCACCCGCGCATTTTGAAATCGACATATTTTAGAGTAATGAGAGTGATTAAATATAATTTTTTAATGATGGTAAGGAATGGTTTGGGAATTTTCTTTTTACCAGAACTTTTTGCCAGGTAGGAGGTGTAAATTTACTCTGTGACGAGGACGATAGAAAGCTCGTGTATATGGCCCGTTCTTTCGTTATTTAAAAGATAACTATGAGCGCCTTCTAGAACCGGAGTATGTAATTATTCCTACTCTAGCGTCGTCTATTGCATACCCTACGAAATACGGGCGCGTTGTGAGTCAGTTGTTTCCCTTAGCTTCATTGATTGCTCCTCATTAACACATTATCATTAACACTCTCAAATACTCAGGCTGTAAAAATACTTAAGAGCAATCGTCAAAATTCGTCGTTCAACTTGATGGAAACTTTAAAAACCAGCACGGTGAAATGTGATCTTTCACTTCTTTTGACTTGCAGGAAGTTGGTAGAAAGAACAGTGACAGGTTTTTTTTTTTTTTTTTTTTTTTTTTTTTTTTTTTTAAATTTTAGAACTTGGCATCGCAATATTTTTTTTTCTAACGGATAAACTTTTTCAGGAGAAGAAACGAAAAAAAGTTTTGTCTACAGTGTTTTGCAATTTTTGCTGAGAAAAAAAGAAGAAAAATTGTAAACGAAACTCATCTAATTGGGCGTTTATGCTGGGAAAACCATGTTTATATTTATTATATGAAAAGGAACCATGTGTAAATGATTTGTGTGCTTATTGGCTGCTTTTAATTTAAATGAATATTCCACGTTTGTTTTGGTATTTTCCAAACTGACCAATGAACGATAAGTTTTTGCCCATCAAAATAACACGTGACAAATTATACCGTAAACTGAGGTACCATACGATTTTATAAACAAAATTCGTCGGCACTTTTTCTAAACTTCATTCTTTATTCGACCGAGTAAAACTGAAGCTCAGATAATTTCATTTAAGAAAAAACTCAGTTAAGGGTCGTTTTGAATTCCCCCTGCCACACATGTTCTTATGCCAAAAATACAAAGTCGAGAAAAAATATTCTGAACTTAAAAATGGTATCTTATTTGTAAATAGTGAGAAAAAAAATTTAGCCTTGATACCTTTTCTTATAAGTTTATCCTCCTACGAGGCCTTTTGATTACAAACAATCATCATCACGGCAGGACTTTTTCACATGTTCAATTGGTCATAATAGTTTAGTTTACCAAAAAAACCAATTTTAGGTGTAGGGTTTCTTCTATGTGTTGGTATTTTGTTTTTTGGCAAACCAAACATTTATGACCAATTTAACATGTGATGAAGGGCCCTGTCTGATCATGATTTTTTTGTAATCAAAGGCCCTGTAGGACAATAAACTTATCAAAAAAGTTATCAAGGCTAAATTTGCTCCTTATTATTTAAAAATGGTAGTTAAACTTTCTGTCTCATGGCATAGATGGCTAAGACTTGAAATCTATTTGTCTCAGCTCGAAACTGATGCGACTCGGTTCTATGTTCAACAATCTGTTTAAGGCCTGCCAAGCTAAGCGATAGACAAAGGGGAAACGAATCCTCAACTAAATTTTGATAAAAACTCGACGCGGGGTTGGATTTGGAGGGTGCAGGGAAATTGACACCTGTACGAGGAACGCGGGAGGCAGGCGAGGGGGGATGGGGGAGTCTTACAAATAACCCGCGGGTGTGGTATTGACCCGGGGGCTCAGATATTTCATGCCCGCGCAAAACAGGAGACTGCGCTCTCTAATCAACACGGCGCGCGTTTGCCGCGATGACGTCCGAAATCCAGTTCCATGCATCCTGTGCAACGTCACAGTCGAGCGCCGGATACCTTAGGGTGGATAGAAAGACGGGGCTGGTCGCATTGCATCGTCATCCTGTTGCGCTGCGTGAGGGCGGGGGTGTAAAATATGAGCTCGCAGTGCTTCCCCTGCTTAACACATTTTTCAAAATTTCCTGTTTTTTTCTTAATTTCTTTTTTAATAGATCTTTTATATCAATTGCTGTATCCAAGAATCAACCTTGGGTCTCGAAATGTTTCAAGTCGTATCAATCACCAATATCCATTATTCAAAATAGTTTTTGAACAAAATGAAATTCCATAACTTCAAAGGTGAAGTGGACACATTCATGCTAAACAGCCACTGCAAGAGCTATTAAAAGAAAAATGGAAAGATCTATGAAAGGAACTTTCTGAAAATGAATTAATAAAAAAGAACTGTGTGCATAGAATTTACGTTATGCAAGCTTCTGATTTAATTAATTTGCACCTATTTCTTTTTAGCCTCAGGACGTCCGATTAACCATGATGTACATTAATTTAATGATGAGTACTTGATTATTGCATAGTCAGACGAAAGTATTAAAGCGACAATCGAATCACTTATTTGGGTAAAATGTGTTACAAATGAATTGAGTTTAACAGAAAAGAGCCGCGTTTTTTCAAATCATACATTTTTGGGAGGAAAAGGTACCTGCTTGATGTAGAATTTTTTTTTATTTCTCTTAAAAAAATGGTTTGTTTGAAATTTTAATTTCAACAAACTGTGGGAGGAATTGACTTTGTTTCTTACTGACCAAAAAAGTCAAATTTGCTGAAAAATAAATTGCTTCTTTGCATAGTTGATGACTTAAGTCTGTCCTCCTAAGTGCAAGAGGAGCAAAATCTATCCAGAAAGCTACAAAAAGTTTCCTATCCCGATGCGCTATTGATATAATTTTCTTTTTTTTTTTTCAGCAAAAGAATCTGCATAATTGCTGGAGGGATGAAGCAAGACAGAATCAACTATTTGGTTGAGTCCTCAAAATGTTCCGAAAATTAGCTTTTAAAATGTTTGGAAATGTGTCCGAATCATTCTCGTGAATTTCTCAATGGCCGATGATGATACGAAGAAATTTTGACTGGTAGAGTACTGGCCGATGGGAGCTTTATAGACCTCTGGCCAATTGGATGCTAAGAAAAAATATAAAGGAAGTAGAAGGGTAACAACTTCCGCTCTTGAGAAACTATCTTGATGCCCTCGTTACAAGCCAAATTCGAAAGATGTTTTTGCTTTGTTTACACACGCAAACTTGTCCCGAACTTTGATGACGTAATTCAGCGGAAAAACTATAGCCAGTTCAGCGAACTGCTTATAACTATAAGTAAAGCCTTATTCCACGAAACAAAAAATGACATTTTCCTTTGACTGTATACACGTTAGCACTGAGTGTTGTTTATTTTATTAAGTTAGCACAGAGTTACTTCATGTAGTTTGACAAAAGTTCGCCTTGGTAAACGATGCGGAATATTAAAGTAGTGATATTATACCTTTTAGACTGTTGTTATTTTTGTACAAATTTCAGATACGGTGTTTTTAGTGATCAATATCCGGCCTGTCAATGTGAAAGGTTTGATCATACTTTATTGTAAGAGAAAGGCACTTGGCATGTCAAAAAAATTTAAAAAAATAAAAAACGATTTTATGAGAACGCAACCCATTCATTTCAACATTAATCCCCGAAAGGTATTATAAATATAACATCATAAACAGTTTTTTTTATAAAGCGACTTTAAAATCGAGGTACTGGTAAAATTTTCCAAAAAAATGTCCACCGGTCGCACATGCAATTTTAAACTACAGTTGAAAGTGAAGTTGAGTTGATGTGGACAAATTCCCTCCTCGTAGGCGGTCATAAATTATTGACGGTGAAATAAAACCCCCAAAACAACGTTTCTTGTTTGCTATGTTAAAAATCTCCGCCCCTGATTTTTATTTAAAAAAGAACCAATCAACATCATTCCTTGAAGTTTTTTTAAAACTTTGCTTTGCACTAAAAGAAAAATCACCGAAGCAGGTCCTAAAAATAGGCTTTGAGTAGTTCTCTATTTAAAAATTAATGCGCATGCTAGCAAGAAGTTGGCAACGTCGCAAACCGAGAAACGTGGTTTAGAAGTTTCACCATAGATTTACAGAATACATTGGCTTAATATTATTTTCCCACTTAAGAATCTACATTGTCTGGACTATGCTTCTGTTTTACGGAGGGGACAAGTTACGTCCAAATTTTCGGAACCCAGCTTGACACTGTGGTCTGGAAGCGCAAAATTGTGGTCAAATATCGTTTATTCTCTATCGTAAGGGCGTAATTTCCACGTGAGCCCTGGGTTACATTCAAATCCATGTTTTCTGAGTCTCATGCAAAAATCGAGCAGAAGAGCGACGAAATGAGAAATGATCATGGTATTAAGAAATTGGGCATTCTTATTTTTTGGGGGTCGCTGAAACCAAATTTGACCTCAAATAACTTAGATCCTTAATTTACAATCATCTCAGATAATTAGCTGTCACGGGCACTAGAATAATTAGGATTTAACGATTTTGTTTGCATCCGTAGTGACAAAGTGAGTTATTTCATACTAAATGTTGAGATTGCAGAGGGTGATTCATTCAATTTCGTTCATATATTTAAAGTAAATGAGACAGGCAAGGATTTGATGAGAAAAATGACAAGGAACTTTATTGCTGAACAAGACCATAAAAAGCTGAAAAATCTAAGAAAAACCCGCACCCTTTTTCTAGACTCCTCTTTTTTGACTCGCAACTCCTGCGAACTGGATACAAATATTTTAACTCTGCATTTGTACGCTATGTACTTCGTATTTTTGAAAGCACCGTAGTTTAATTTCACAGAAAAATAGTTGCCATGAAAGTATTTAAGTTCTTGTTAACTTGTCGATACATTTTTGTGATTTGCTGTCTTCATCGTTCGCGAGTGGAAAGTCACAGGATTGTAGCTTTTCCTACTTTAAGATATTTCAATTCCTCGGGTGATACAACTATTTTAACTCCGTGGATGTGCGTGAAGTATCGCGACTTTTGAAGGCGTTTTCATTATTCGATGTTTTCAGTATTCGCAGTCGGAAAATCATACGATATAGTATGATTTAACTAGGTACTGATTTATAGACTAACTCAACCGTAAACTATCGCTCACGGTTAAATCACGGTAGTACCGTTCAACTGCAGGATTCATTGCTGAAAAAAAAATTAATTGCACAGAGTGGATCTGAGGTGCTAAACCAATACAGATAAGTGAAGGAAGATCTAGGGGTAAAAGTCACGCTAAGCAGCCGAAAGCGAGTTGATGGATATTCCTAGCGTCGCAGGCTTTTCAGATGTAAAAGTCCTGCCTGAAGCTCTCAATGTCAGGTTCTTTTCAGCGTCTCACATTTGCGAACAAAATTTCTCAGAGCATAGGACGTAACTTTTAAAAACTTTACGAAACTGCTGTTTTTAGTACGAGAAACTTGAAATCTCTTGTTCTCCTTTAATTTTTTGAAAATTAATCGTTTAATTTTCTCTGAAAGCTAACTTTAGGAGCTTTAGTTAGATACTTTGTAAGTGAGAACGTTACGGGAAAAACGACATTTCGATTCGACACATTTGTAGTCAAAAAAAGTGACAACAATGTTTCAAATGTAAATTTTACGATACAAAAATTCTAATTTAACTACGCCCGTAGTTGATTTAGGTTTCTTTTTTTGTAAAATGTGCATTTGAAACATTGTTATCACTTTTTTCGACAATTTATAGTTAAATCGGCAATCCATTTTTTTCCCCGCTCAGTTTTAAAAATAAGACACCTGTACTAGCAATACAAGTGTTCTACATAGTAGGCCTTGTCCACACGAACCTGGTTCGCGGAACTCAGTTCGAGGAACTTGTTCCCGGAACAAGTTTTTTGTTGAGCTGAAACTTATTCCTCCAAAACCTGGAATTTCCCCCGTGCTCCGAGCTTCTAAATATGTTTCTTTTGATGTGAATTTGCTTGTTTTTGTTTTTCACGTCCTTTACATATGATCTTGACATTTATTTTTGTTACTTTGGCGGTCATAATAATCTATTATTTTGCAATAATTGTATAGTTTTATTGAAGTTCCGGTTCCAGTTCGGACGAACCCGTGTGGACAGCATGCCTCGTTTCAAGGAATAAGTTCTGGGAACTGAGCAAGTTCGAGGAATAAGTTCCGCGAACTGCGCTCGTGTGGACAAGGCCTTAGGACTAACTTTAGGAGCTTCAGTCAGATACTTTGTAAGTGAGAACGTCACGGAAAAAATGAAACTTCTGACTCAACAAAACGCGACAAAAGTGACAAAAGTCAAAAAAAGTGACAGCAACGTTTCAAACGTAGATTTTACGATAAACTGTACTTGCAATATACGAGTGTCCTACATAGTTCGTCTCCGACAACAGCGCAGGGACGACCGGCGAGAGGGAGGGGGGGGGGCGGTCGG